CCCTGCTCCCCCTCCCTCGCCCCCCACACCCACCCCCTCTCGCCCTCTCCAGGCGGTCAAACCTGCAGACCGGTGAAGATGGCGGTTGCGCGCCGCCCGAGGACGAGGATGGAACGCTCAGCGGCCTCCTCGGCACGCAAGTTGGACCTAATTAATTAAGCGCCCTCAACTCACCAACTCCTCACGCCTAGCGGCCTCCTCGGCACGCAGGCTGGACGGGAGCGGGACGGCGAGGGCGCGCACGCGCTGCAAGAACTGGTTGCCCGTCATCACCTTCTTGCCGAGGTAGAGGAAGACGCCGTTCACGACCGCGACCGGCACCTAAAGCTCGGCCACAACCTCGGCTTCACCTCGGGGAGACCGTCTCGGGTGCGTCTCGCCGCCGCGGCGGCCGGGCACCGCGCGCAGCGACGGCGCGAACGGGAGCGTGCCCAGCACCATCGCGTGGATCGTGAAGCCGGACAGGCGCGTCTCGAGCACGCGCTCCTGCTCTGGCGCGGGCGCCGACTCGGGCGGCGGCGCGAGCGGCGAAGGAGACACGACGGCGGCGGCGGGGTTGCTGTCGAGGCCGGTCGCCTTGAACCAGTCGGCGAACTCCTCGAGCCCGAGCCGGCCGGTGTCGTTGCCTAATTAACACTCATTAGCACTTAATCAGCACTAAGGAGGCCTCCTCGAGCCCGAGCCGGCATGTGTCGTTGCCGTCGAAGCCGCGGAACGCGTCCGCCGCCATCGTCGCCGCCTGCTCCAGCGACATCGGGCGCGAGAACTGCTGCTCCGACATGCGGCGCAGCAGCGCGACCAGCTCGTCTGCGGTCACCTCCCCCGACCCGTCGCGGTCGGCGTCCGCGAAGGCCTGCCGCAGCTTTGCGGGCACCGCGCGGCGGGCGGCGGCGCGGCTGCCCTCCCCGTTGCTGCTCGAGCGGGCTGCCACCGACCCTTCTCGGATGAGCGAGCTGGGTGGCGCGGGGCGCGGCGCGGCGGCCGAGGGGGCGGAGGGGCTCGCGCCGCCTCCGCCTCCGCCTCCGCCTCCGCCTCCGCCTCCTCCGCCTCCGCCTCCTCCGGCTCCTCCAGCTCCTCCCTCGGTGGTCATCGAGCGGATGTGGTTGATTGACTCGACGGTTGCTGCGCACATCCACGGCAGTCCGCAGAGCGAGGTGAGGCCTAGAACTAGTGCTCCTTCGTGTCGACTCGTGGGAGTGCCTAGTTCGTGCTGAGTAGCAGAGCGAGGTGCGGCCAGTGAGGAGCGCGAGCACGACCAGGTCGAGGTGGTAGGTTGCGCGCGGGATGAGCTTGTTGCGCTCCGAGTTGACGGTGCGCACGGTGATGTTTTGGTCGAGGAAGAAGAGAATCGCCTACCCCCGAGAGGAGCCGAGATCACCCGAGATGACCCCGAGAGGACCCCGAGATTGCGCCGAGCGAGAAGAGGATCGCCAGAAAGACGGCGGGCAGCGCGGCGAGCAGCCGCCAGCGCGGAGGCAGCGACCAGAGGGGGACGAGCCACGGCCGGCCGAGCGAAGTGGAGGCGCCGACGGCGAGGCGGGGCACGTCGGCGGCGAGGCGAGTGGCGAAGGCGGACGTCGAGAGAGCAGAGACGGAGCCGACGGCGAGTGCGGGCCTGCGTGGTTGGGACGCAGACATGGGGGGGCGGGGAGGGCGGCAGTGTGCCGTGTACTCGGAGCACCGCGTGAGTACGAGGGAGGCGGCTACAGCGGAGTACAGCGGAGTACGGCGGAGTACGCGTCCTCTCGAGTGCTGGTTGGGAGACACGAGTCCGCCATCCGCGTCTAGACTGCGGCGAGCCCAAAGTCGGCGATGAGATACGGGGAGATACGGGGAGATACGGGGAGATATGGGGAGATATGGGGAGATCTAGACTGCGGCGAGCCCAAAGTCGGCGATGAGCGAGCGGAGAGTGCGCGGGAAGTAGCGCGAGGCGGAGAGGCGGGTGGAGCCCTCGCAGGCGCCGAAGGTGAGGAGGCCCCAGCAGAGCGAGAGCAGGGCGGAGGCGGAGGCGGAGGCGGCGCTGCGAGCGCCGGCGGCGGCGGCGCGCGAGGCGGCGACGAGTCGCATCCACATGGCTGTTGCGGAGGAGTGGAGGTAGGAGGTGCCGAGGAAGGCGTTGAAGACGTCCTCGGTGAAGCGGGTGCAGTAGCGGATGAGGTTGGCGGCGTTGGTGCACGCCGCGAGCGAGAGGAAGCCGCAGGTCCACAGCCCCACCCACGTGTACATCGGCAGGAAGGGGATGCCGCGCGGCGTGACGAAGGCGTACAGCGCCGTGGTGAAGGCGAGTGTGAGGCCGGTCGGCCCGATGAAGGTCATCGGCTGGCCGGCGAGGGAGGCGTAGCTCAGCCCACATCTCGGCCAGATCTCGGCCAGATCTCGGCCAGATCTCGGCCAGATCTCGGCCACATCCCGGCCACATCCCGGCCGGATCCCGGCCGGATCTCCACCTCGGCCAGCCTCCTCGCCCATATCTCGACCTGGTCGTATCTCGGCCAGATCTCGGCCAGATCTCGGCCAGATCTCGGCCAGATCTCGGCCAGATCTCGCCTGGCCGGCGAGGGAAGCGTACAGCATGCCGCAGACGCCGCGGGAGATGATCGTCTCGACGATGCCGAGCTGCCCGCCCGTGGCCACCTGCATCGCGCCGCCGAACGCCACCACCGGCGCCAGGCACGCAAAGTAGAGGAAGAGGGTCGCGCCTGGTTGCCGGGAGGGGGCAGGGCGGCAGGCGGTTGGCCGAGAGAGAGAGAGAGGGAGGGCGGGAGCTGCTTATGGAGCGCGCCGACAAAGGTGGGGATGTCCTTCTGCGACGACAGCCTCCAGTCAGCGGCGTAGGTCGGCCTCCGCCTGACGGTGACGAGGAGAGTGGCGCGGTGACGGGCCAGGCGTGGACGGCGGTGCCCCTCCGCGCTCGTGCAGCGCACAGTGCCACGTCGCCCGCGAGCCCGCTGAAGAGTTTGTCCGGAGCGTCCGGCCTCCGCGAGTCGGGGTTGTCCGCTGGGTTGCCAACCGGCCACAGCTCGCTGAACTCGGACGACGCTGCTGTGGGCGACAATCTCGGCGGCGGCGGCCACGTCGGGAGCGGGTTTGCGAAGGCCGCACGCGGCCCGCGCGTACGCAGCGATGGAAGAGGCGCCGCTCGTAGACGCTCTGAGCTTACGAGGCCAGGCGACAGCAGCGGCACGCAGAGCATGCGCCACCCGGTGGGGCACTCGCGGTAGAAGACTGCGGAAGGAAAGAGAAAGATCAGGGGGGCAACGCATGACAAGCGATCCCACGTCAGCGATTGTGGGGACTACATGATTACATGAAGGGTGGGGGGGGCCGTTCGGCGGAAGGGGTAGGCTCTTCAGAAAAAAATTCCTGCGAGCGCAGCACCGCGCGCTCCACGCCTCGACGCCGCCTGAGGCGAGCCGCCGCCGCCGCCCCGCCCGACGGCGGCCTGGGCGTGCGCTCACCACCGCCCCCGGCTGCGCGCGCGCGCAGGCTCCCTCCTCGCAGCAGCCATGGCGACGAAGGTGCAGAAGATCATGACGCAGCCGATCAACCTTATCTTCCGGTTCCTGCAGAACAAGACGCGGGTGCAGATCTGGCTGTATGAGAACACGGAGCTGCGGATCGAGGGCAAGATCATCGGCTTCGACGAGTACATGAACCTCGTGCTGGACGAAGCGGAGGAGCTGCTGATGAAGAAGAAGGAGCGAAAACCGCTCGGGCGCATCCTGCTCAAGGGCGACTCCATTACCCTGATGATGACGGCGCAGTCATCATGAGCGCACGCGCCGCCGCACGTACCGCCGCCGCGCTGGCCCGTCAATCGCGCGTCGCAGGGCGAGGGCGAGGCTCGCCATCTCGCCGCAGCAGGCGCGCAGCGCTGCGGCCGCCGTGCTTCCCCTCGTGCGGCGTGGGGGGAATGAGGCGTCTGCAGCGCCGCGCGCGAACTTCCCGTCCGTAGTACGCAGCACCAGTCTTGCTCTCGCCGCTGTCCGTGTCTTCCCGATGCTCCGACGCCGCGCCCTCCGCCGTGTCCTGCTCGCTGCTGTCCTCGCAAGTCTGAGTGTGCCTATACCGTAATTACCGAGCGCCCCGGGCACGGTCGCCGTTATTGCAAAGCGCGCGCCGTCTTTCGCGCGCAGCGGCGGCGGGGGGGGCGGGTTCAGACCATACATACATCCACACATATACAAACGACATTATGTGTGCGTCTTGTGCCCACCCCGCCGTTCGAGCTTGCGCTCTCTCACACAGGTCCCAGGTCTCTCCAGGCTCCAGCTTCGATGCGGATGCGCGCTCCACGCTCTCACCTCTCAGCTCTCTCCCTCTCGGCACTCGGGGGCCGGCGGGGGCGTCGCGCGTCGGGGGGCAACATTGGGGAGACGGGCCCCCCCTGGCGTCGCGCGTCGGCGCTCTCTCGGCGGAGCTTCGACGCTCCACTCACCCTCCAACCGCACCTGTACAGTCGCTAGCGAGCTCTCGAAGTATAAAAGGTAGGGTGAGAGAGAGAGAGAGAGCTCGGAGCTCGCGCGAGAAGCGCGAGTCCGAGAAGGCGCGTGCGCACGTGTTCTCGCACACTGCAACGGGCATCTTTGACGTCGGCCGCTTTGGGTAGACGGGCATGCGCATGGACATGGGCAAATGCACAAGGCACAACGCGACCGTACAATATGTTTGAAGAGCGTCCCAGACTCATGCAGAGGTGCCGCCCCGCACGCCGCACCCCGCGGCCCGCCCGCCGCGCCCGCGCACCCCCGGGGCTAGGGCTCTCTTGCCCGCAACCCGATGCCAATCATCCGGCTCGCTGGGTGTGCTTCTCAGCCCCCCGGCCCTGGATGTGCGGTTGATGACTGCACTCCAAGTGCTCCAAGTTCTGGACTCCTCGCTTGAGCACTTGAGCACTGGATAGGGTCGGATTCCGCATGGTACAGGACTCCTCGTCTAAGATGAAGATCGAGCGCGTCGAGAAGCGCGTCGAAGCGCGCGTGAAGTAGGTCGGAGCCTAAAGAGAGGAGTCGAAGAGAGGTGCCCGACTCCAGCATACAGAGAGTGACGGGCGAGGTTGGTGGGGTATGCAGGGCGGAGCCGCGGAGAAGGCTCATACACGTTCGCTTCTCGCTCCATCTTCTGCGCCGTGGCAATTCATGGAGCGCTTGGAGTGCGGTTGGTAGCACTTAAAGAAAGAAAGAAAACAGACAATCCAAGGGAGGGATGGGAGGACGGCACCGCCTCGCTTCAGATGTACCTTTAGATGCGCTCTGATGTATTGTGTGGCTTTTGGACCATGTCCACGGGCATGCCACATGGACATGGATACGTTTGTTAGGACTTATCTTATTTATTTGAGTAGACGTAAGGTTGCCGTGTGAGTGAGTATTCTTGATACGAAACCACGACGACACACACCAGTCGACTCGCATCGGTTGCCTCCACACACTCACACACGTAAGGTTGCCACCCCGCCGGCACGCGATCAACACGCCCTCAGAGCCTGTGAGTAATAGACCAGCTACAAAGAAAAAGAAAATGCTCGCGCAGGTCCGTCGGCCAAGCCCACATGTGGCGTTTGCTCGTGCTTCTCTTGCTCCACCCTGTCTCCGCCACAGAGCTAGCCAGCCTTAAGGAGGACGAGGACGCTTACGCGGGCGAGGCATCAACGGTCGACGGCCAGCTCATAAGCCTCGTGCAGGCGAAGGGCGCAGATGATCCTTCGCTTGTGTCTGAGCTGCTCAGCAACGGCGCGTCGCCGTCGGCGAGCGGCCTGTACAACTATACGGCCATCATGTGGGCTGTCGTGCGGCACAAGGTCGCGACGCTTCAAGCGCTTCTCGATGCCGGCGGCGACCCGTCGCCAACCAACGCCTGGAGCCGACACACACGCTTGGCCGGAAGCATCCCGTCGCGGTGTGCGTAGGGGCCGCGACGCACTGTTCCTCGCTGCCTGGGAAGGCGAGCCGATGGTGCGGCTGCTCATCGACCACGGCGCCGATGTGAGCGCCTGTGCTGAGCACGATGAGTGGACGCCGCTGCACAAGGCTGCGGAGAAGGGCAGCCTGCCGGTGGTGGCGATGCTCCTTGAGGCGGGAGCCGACCCGCACGCCCGCACGTTGCCCGACAAGACCTTCGAGGACGGCATTGTGCCCGTCGATCTCGCCCGTCGCAAGCTCAAGAGACTGGGGAAGAAGAAGGCGCCGGGCGAGGCGGCAGAACTGCGACAGCTCATTGCGCTGCTTGTGCAGCACAGCCAGGGGGAGAAGGAGGAGCTGTAGGAGCGATATTCTGGCTCGCCCCGCGCGCGGTTGCCGGCGGCCGCCATCAAGACTAGGACGGACGCCGATTTTTGTGAGTGATTGTTTGTGAATGAATGAAAAATGGGTAGTTAGTCGATCGAACGTCGAGGATCGTGGATCAAAAGCATGATACAAGAGCGATATCAACCATTGCAATTCACACACAAGACACCGACACACAACCTCTTTCCATTCAGCTGTGTTTGGCCGACGGCCACGGCCTGAAATCCGCCGAAATTCTTCTCCTCTTGAGGAGCTCGGCAGGCTCTTCTCTGGGTTGGTTCTCTTCCCTGGTCCGCATCCGGAGTCCGGCAGCCGATGCAGACCCTCAGTGCCCAGTGCCACAAAGCGGCAGAGATGATGGCCAAATCTACGGCCGAGCAAGATAACGAGTCCGAAACTACGGCGGAGCGAGACATCGATTCCGACTTTCTCTCGCAAAGCTCTTACGTAGATGAGGATGATGACGCCGGTGACGCCGAGATCGACGACGAGATCACAGCGATCACCGCATCGATGGTTCACTGCAACCACCACCACCACGGCGACGCTGCCGTAGCAGATCCTGAGTCGCGGAGCGCCGCGTCATCCTGCGACGACCGTTCGGCTCGAAAGCGTGCCCTCAACGGGAACAGCGACGAGCACCGACGGTGGACGTGCTGGCGCCAATCGAGCGTCTCGCAGAGCTCCGAGTCGAGCGAGGTTGCCAAAGTAGGAGAGCACGCACAACAGGCACGCAGAACGACTCACTAGTCCGTCTCTCGTCGTAGGTGCGCTCGTCCACGAGTAGCGTCTGCTCGTCGAGAGAGTCGACCAAAGGGTGGGGCAGTCTGCCGGCCGCGACCAAAGGGTGGGGCGTCTTGCCGGCCCACGCCTCGGGGGCTCCAGCGGGGCCAGACTCGGGGCCAGGCTCGGGGCCAGGGCCACTCCTCGGCCGGCTGCCAGAGGATTTTGGCACATGGGGCATGCCTTCGTCGGGGGGCGGGGGACGGGGCTCCGGCTGAGATGAGCCGACACGTTCGTGCGGGTTTACAGTAAACCACAAAGCTTTTTTTTCTGTAGGGATCCGTGGTGAGCAGATTTCCAGATTCACTTGTGCGTATTACATGTAACAGTTTAATTCTCCCCTGCCGTATACTTTTGTGTGAGAGGAGACTAAGGTAAGCTAACTAAGGTGCTCCTGCTCGAAGCTAACTAAGGTGCTCCTGCTCGACTGCCGCTCGACACACGAGTCACGACAGTGTGTAGGCCCCGCAGCTCCAGCACAACGACTCCCCTACGTGCTACGACAGCAGGCCGTCCACCCCCGAGAAGACGTGAACAGTGGCAGTGGGGGGGCGGAGTCGCTAGAGCTGTCCCCCCCTCGGACCTTGGGCAGGCGGAGCTTTCCCAGTCCATCGATCGAGCCGAGCGGTTGCATGTATGTACAGCAATCAGCATCAGCTTTACGCGGCCTGCGAAGGCTTTGACGTCGCTTGGCGTCATTTTTACGTTTGAGATGAAAACAGATATTAGCGATCAGATTCTCAGCCAGTTAATAGGTGGGACAGCCCGTCTCGCAGACAGTCAAAGAAGTGAGCGAGGTGCTTGGCAGTTGGCTCTTGGTCTTGCTTCATCGTTAATGCATAATGGATCATGCTTGCACGAACCGGGTTTGCAATCTTTCTCTTTGCTTGATGTATTGAGAGCTTGTGTGGAACGACCTCATGTGTACGTCATATCATTGTGTCTCTCTGTGACTGTCTCACTAAGATACAGGCCAGATATGTGGCCCAGTCACGGTGCGGCCCTGCGCGGGCGCGGTCAACAGACAACACGAACTCACGTCACGCGTCAGGGACATCCTCCGTGACCCTCTTTCGTATTCTTACAAAATACTGCATAGTGCATTGCCCTTGCAATGCCCGACCGCGTCGCCTCTCCCACATTCAAGACCCGCCTCCCACCTGCCGGTCCGGGGGCGTCACCAGCCAGGTCGACGCGATGCGGCCCGTGATGGTCTCGTAACTCGCGAACCACCTATAGATAGAGAAGCCAGCGGGCTTCGCTCTGAGCGCCCCGTTATGTGTGTGCTCGACGCATGCGCCCTCTCGCCTCTCCATCTCGGCGTGCAGCAGCATCGCACCAGCGCTGTGCCGCGGTGGGCGTCCTCAAGCGAGCCGTAGCGGCTCTGCGTGAACCAGCCGTCGCCTGACTCGTCCGACATCACGAGGCGGCCGTGGTACGAAATTCCCGCCGCCTCCATGCCGCGGCTCAGCCGCTCCTCAAAGCCCGGTGTGAGGACCGCCTCCTCCGCCTCGGCCCTTGCCGCTGCATCCCGGAAGATCATGCGCGAGTACCGCTGCCCCATACCAATTTGGTAGGCGCCAGCTCTTGTGTCGGAGAGCGTGTGCTGGCCAACGCCCCACATCCACGTCTCGCCGCTCGGCATGCTGCCCGCTTCCTCAAAGGCCGCGGCGTGAGCGGCGTAGTACGTGCCTCCCGGCGTCAGTGCGTGTTTCACAAACCAAGTGCGATAGTTGGAGTAGGACTCGGCGCCATCAAAATACGCGCAGTTGAAGGCGCGGCCATCGTCCGTCTCGTGAGATACGATCCGGTACGGCCGCGATGTCTCCTCAAGGCTGCGTATCGCCTGCAGAAGCGGCGGAACAACCAGCATGGCGTTGGTTCCACTCAGCGAGTGCTCGAAGGGGTTGACGACGGCGAGGACGGTCTTGGCGCTTGTCGGCGTGGGCATAAACGCAAAACGACGCGCAGTCGGCCGATTCAGCACGCGTCTCATGACCGCTCCTCGAGAAGGCACGCGCCTCGTGACCCTGGTCGGAACAGCAGAAGGGGAGTGCCAGCGCGGTGCACTCCACCAAAAAAATCCGGAAAAACTCCCTCGTCCCGCCGAGTGTGCGTATCCTATGCGAGAGAGATCAACTGTGCCCTGTGCCCAGCCCTCTCCGCGCCGCGATGCGCCCTCCCCCCTCGCTTTTGCAAAATCCTGCGGAGGTGGGGGGACGTGTGTGTCTGTCCTCGACCCAGCCCTACCTAGCTTGGGATGTCCGTTTTATTATCTCTCACTTTGATATCCTTTGCTCCAGCTTCGTTGGTCCTGTGGGTGCGGGGACTCTCTTCACGAGACGACATCTGTTTATTTTTTGCCCGTTTTATTTATTCCTGCGTCCACCCATACCGCGTTGGTGTCCCAGTCGTTGGTCGGACTGTGTTTCGCCTTCCCATCAATCAATCAATCAGTCCTTACAAGATCCTGCTCGCGCAGGTGGGGACCCTGTCCTTCTCCCACCCCTTGTTTGGTGTGTCCGTTTTATTCAACGCTGCTGCGAAAAGAATCACCTTGCCTTTGAAGCCGTCCGCCTTCAGCCACAGGTTAAACCTCACTTGGTGCTCCTTGTCGGAGGCGAAGTCCTTGCGGTGCGGCATCGTCACTACGGACACAGAGCCCGCCGGAGTCTCCCGGGCAATTTGTTCGGTGCCGCGCCAGCGGGCCTTCTTGATGAGCGAGTCGTGCTTCGCGGCCGTCGCCGCGATTCCCGTGCCGCCGCCACGGAAGGTGGCACGTGCTTTTGAGAAGCCCACTTTGCGGCCTTTGCCGCTTGCCCACCGCTTGGCTTCGTCGACGGGCGAGTGCCTTACCACACTCGCCTCGGCGTTACTCGAAGCTGCGAGCTCAGCTGCGGCCACAAGAGCGGCCTGCTTGGCACGCAGCTGCGTAATCGTCGGCCCGCGTGCGCGGCTCTTCACGGCCTGTGCCGGGGAGTTGGCGTTCACGCGCTCAATCATCATCGTCATGGCTGTGTGCGTGCTTCTCGCTCGTGCGTCCTTGGAAGTTGTGCGCCTCCTCTCCTATGAGCTCGTATGCCACGTCGCCGCCTGTGTTTGGGTTTCTATGTTTGCGATTTGGAATTTGGTATTTGTCCAGCTCTTTGTTTATTTATTTACTCTCTCTCACACAGCAGACAGGCTCAGCACAGGTGCGGACTGGCGCGTGCTAGCACAGGCAAACACCAAAAAAGAAATCACACCCGGGGACATACCGGTAATTTGCGCACCACACTCTCAATATACTCAAATGCAAGAGCAGGTCTATTACTCGTCGCCCCAAAAGGGGCACAACTCTCTCCTCTACGACGACGAAGCGTCTCCAGATGCGTAGGCATACACGGCGGCCACGATGAGTGCAACCTCGAAGACGGGGACGCCTCCAAAGGGCGGGTCGTCCTCCTCCTCCTCGCCTGGGGGGCGCTCCGCCTCTGCCTGTGGGCTGAGAGGCGGCTCCTCCTCCTCCTCCTCTTCAGCCATCATCCAGGCGCCGGAGCGGCGTGGGGCCACCCATGGTGCCACCGGAGCTGCTCTCAGGCCCATCTGCACACTGCCGGTCGTGCGGCGCACGGCTCCCGCGCTCCCGCGCACCTCCACGCCGGCCTTGAGCAGCTCGGCCGGCCTCTCGAGCGGCAACGTCGCTAGCTCGGCGTCGGACGCGCCGCCGCTCCGCGCAGCCAGCGCGTCGAGCTTCGGCGCAACCTCCGCGTCGTAGTCGAGCCCGAGCAGCTGCGGCAGCTTGGTGACGAGCCGCCGTAGCTGCGGGTCGGAGAGGCGCAGCCTCGCCTGGAGCGCCTCCAGCGGCGGGGCGACGGTCGCCTCATAGCTCTCGCCGAGGAGTTGCGGCAAGCGGAGCACGATCGCCTTGAGCTCTTCCGACGACAGGCCGAGCCGAGCCTGCAGCCTCGTCAACGACGCCCAGCCACTCGCCGCCTCGCGGCCACGCACCATCTCCTCGACGGCGGGCACGCGCGCCGCGGTGCGCCTCCGAGGGAGAGTACACCGAGGTCAGGGCGGGAGTACGGTCTCTCGTGCTGTGCGTTCGGAGCACCGCGTGAGCACGAGGGGTGAGAGTACAATGAGTACAGCTGAGTGCCGCGGAACACTGCCCTCTCGAGTGCTACTTGGAGTCCGAAGGTCTGTCTTCGGCATCTAGGCCGGTGCGCCTCCACTCCTCCTCCTTGAGCCTAGAGTGTGGTTGGTGGACCACATACAGCTACCTCAGGGCTGTGGATACAAGTGGCACACAAACCGGAAGGGGTGCGAACGCAAGGAGTACGGCTGAATACGGTCGACTACAGCTCACTACGCAGGTTCGTAGTCCGCTTCTACCTCCTTGCGCCCGAGCAACCGCTGCAGAGAGGCGAGGCCGACGGGTGTGTCGTCGGCAGAGTACACCTACTCTCGAGCGACCGCGGGTCCTCTCGGATACTCCCGCCCGACGCGCGTGGCGATGGCGCGAGTGGACCGTCGGCCCTTGCTGCACATCGCCGTACGCCTCGAGCTCCGCCACGTCCTCCGCGCTGCCGAGGAACACCGGCACCCGGTCGTGCAAGCCCGCCGGCACCTGTGGGGTCGGGCGGTGGGGCGAGGGCGGGGCAGTGCGAGGGCGAGGCAATGCCCTAGGGGCAGTGCGAGGGCGAAGCGGTACGAAGCGGTGGCGGTGGCGACGGTTACGGACGAGGCGGCGGCGGCAAGGGCGAGGAGGACGGCGGCGTTTGGCAAAGGTGGTGGGCGGTGGCAAGGGCGAGGGCAAGGGCGAGGGCAAGGTGGCACCACGTCCAGCAAGCAGCGCACACCGTCCGAGGCGCGACCGCCGCACGCCTGTCTTCACAGCCACACGGTGTGAAGAGACGCCGACACCTACTCCCCCCCCCCCGGAGGCCTCCGGAGGCCGCCGCCGCCACCTCCGCGACGTGCGCGAGCGGCGCCGCCTCGTACAGGAGGCGAAGGTGCGGCCGCGGGTTGCCAGCCCAGCCTGCGGCGGAGACACACACTCGCAAGTGTGAGCACACCGCGGGACGACAGCAGCCGCGAGTCGCAGAGGCTACGGCCTGTGCGCTACGGTCGAACTCGTGCCCTCTCTAATCAGGAGTCACAACCCCCCCCCAACCCCGCCGGGGGTCGATTGAGGCCGAATCAGACAACAGAATGCCATCTGATTTTCTAGGCCCGCTGAGCCTCCGCGCAGCAGCGTGCGGTGCACGTCCGCCACCAGCGCGCAGACATACCGCGAGGAGAACTTTGTGCGCGAGGGCGTCAACCCGCGCCGCGCGTCGTGCACCCAGCGCCGCAGCCCCTGTGGCCAGTCGGGCTCGCGCGCGTCGTTGAGCGAGTAGTACGGCCCGCGGGCAGGGCAGCGGAGGGAGGGGCGCGTGAGGACGAAGCGCCCGCCGCCGGCGGTGCCTCGCCCCGCCGGGTCGAGGGTGAAGCCGAGGGCCTTGCACCCTCCGCCTGGCATCTCACCTCTGCCATCGCCAACTCCGTTCCCCTCGGAATGGGCCGTGCTTCCCATCGAGAGGACGAGCTCCGTCGAGGCCGTGTAGAGGGCGTACCTACGGCAAGGAAGAGTGGGTGCAACGTGGGCGAGGGGCAGACAGCCCTCGCATCTCCATACCGGGACAGGCAGCAGCCGCGCGCGGCGCGTTTCAACTTTCGCAAGGCCCGGTGCAGGGTGGGGAGGCGCACCCGGCGGCGACGAGGCCGTCGCGGCCGCTCGCCTAGGGAAAAGGGCCCGCGCTGTCGAGACCGCGCGTGACGTCGCACTCTTGACCGCTTGACTCGTGCCTGGAAGCACTCGCGGCCAGGCGTGTGCGCATACACGCCGAAGATGGACCCGGTCGGAAGGCTATCCAAGGGGACGGGCGAGAGGAGTCAGAGTGGGGCGGCTGATCGTAGGTGGACGTGGCGACGAATGTCTCTTCTAGCGGCCTGCTGGCAAGCCGCTGCTGCCTGTCTCGGACTCGGACGCGAGTCCCGGTTCCCAGGCGTCGAAGCGGCGTGGTGGTATACACGCCGTGTCTCTCTCTCAAGTATTCCTATGTTGGGCCTGGTGTCGAGGTTGGAGGAGCCGTCCAGCGGGTCGAAAGCCACCTCGTACCTCGACGGAGTGTCGCCGAGGATGCACGACCTTTCCTCCTCGGACGCCATCGCCGCCACGCGGCCGGTTAGGTGTGATACAAAGATGTCGTTGGCGATGACGTCCATCGGCTTTTGCCTCTCGCCCTGCACGTTGAGCGCGCGACCTGCAGCCGGCGATTCAAACTGCGGCATGCGTAAGAGCTCCGAGATCTGCTCGCACGCGGCTGCGATTGAGCAGAGCACTCCGGCAAGCTCCGGCTCTGCACCACTGGCGGCGAGCGCCTCTGGCAGCAAGGCAGCTTGCAAAGGCTCTTCACCACCGGCGGCGAGCTGCGATGTCACCAGGCGTCCTGATTGCCGTCGAGCACTGAGGAGCGGCAGGGTATGCGGCCGCAACGCGAGCGTGCAAATCGCGAGAGTGTAGAACATCATGCCGTGGGAGGCTAACTGCGCTGTGAGCGTGTGGACTGAAGAGCTCCCTTTACCCATACGGTGTGAATAGATCGGGGAAGACTGGGGTAGACCGCAAGGGCCAGATCTATCGCGACCTACTCAGATCTATAGCGATATTGCGCGGTATTGCAAGGTGGTAGACTGCGGTAGACTGTGGTAGACTGCTGAAGACTGCTGAAGACTGGACAGGCTCCTCACATGGCCGGTCTACCGCAATCTACCGCAGTCTACTCCAATATAGTCCTCTTGGCCATACTGGAGTTGACTGCGCAAAATCGGGATAGATTGGCGAAAACTCGGGAATATTGCTGGAGGCTGCTGTAGACTGCGGTAGACTGCAGTAGACTGCAGTAGACTGCAGTAGACTGCAGTAGACTGGAGAACCGCTCGAGCGTCAGAGAGCTCGCGCGAGCCCCACGGCATTCGCGCGCCGCTGGAGGAACCGCCCGGGCGCCCCCGGCAGCACTGCTGCCGCCGGACAAGTCGGAGGCCACACAGAGGCTGCAGCTCCCATCCCGCCTCTCCCCGCTCCCTCTCCCATGCGCGCTCTGCTGTGCAAATGGACGAGGTGCCTGTCAATATCTCCTCTCGCCATGTGACAGGAGTGGGCGCCGGCAGGAGGCGGAGGGCCGCACGATCTGTCCCAGGAGGGGTCGGCGCCATGAGGACCACGTACGCTGGGAGGTGCACATGCCGAGCCATGCCGACACGTGGCAAATTTGAGAGTGAAGATGCCGCGCCTGTAGTTGACGATCATTCCAGGGAGGTGCTCCGTGGACGCGGCCCACTCACCGCCCCACACCGAAAACGGCACATTGATCACCAACCCCATCATTACTTTGGCCGTGGTGCGGCAGACTGGTGATGCAAGGAGGGATGGCTCTGAGAGCCGTCGCTGCCCTGCAACGTCGGGAGAGGAGGGGTGACGCTCGGCTCCGTCGCTGACCAGCCCGGCTGGCGGTCTCGGCGGGCGGCGGCGGCGGCGGCGCGCTTCTTCGAGATGTTGCTCTTGAAGCCCATACGTCAGTCCAGCCGAGCGAACGAACGGGACGCGCGTTGAAAGAGTAACGAAGCTGCGAATTGTTTCTTTTGCAGTCCCTTCCCCCGTAGATCGCGCAAGACCGCGGTAGATCCCAGCTTTTCACACCAAAGGTAAATGTCAGGGAGCTCTGAGCGTGGTGGACTTGAGGTGCCATGGTTTTCGCGTTTTCCTTTTATCCTTTCGGACAAAGCGTACGTACCGATTCGTACCCTCCCTGGAGCCTGGTCAAGCACTCGAGGTCAAGCAGCCGTCCGAGACGACGACGACCGACGCACGGGCACGACCGCAGCATGAAGCACGGCAGTCGTGTTTCAGACGAGCATTACACGCGACGGCACTGGAATCTGGATCACTGCTACGTACGAGAATGCAGGCGCTGGGGGCTTGGACATATGTTGCGGCCGCCCTGCACTGCCGCCCCAACACGGTACAGGGCATCCGATGGCCGGCCGAGCACGGTCGGCCGGGCCTTCAGACAGAGTGGCTGTATTCTAGGGTGAGCGGTGTGCGGTGACGCGCTCACACCATCGGGAGGCGCGACACCGTGAGCCTGGTGGCGGCGAGACTGGCGGCGACGCCGAGGGCGAAGCCGAGAGCGAGCAGCGAGGGCGGCGTGAAGGGTACCTCGGCGGGAGGCGGCTCCGCGGCCACCGCCGACCCGCCGAAGCCCTTTGGCGCCTTGTCGGCCGGCGAGTAGGCGTAGTAGCCAGGAAGAGGGATCATCACGTGGGCGTAGTCCGTCCCCTTGAACATGACGTACGGCTCGCCTTTGAAGGGGTCGTCCGGCCACGAGTCGAGGCTCTCCGGGTCCTTGGGGAACAGCATCAGATGCGGGCCCGACTCGATCCACGTGCCGTTGGCCTCGGCCTGCGTCATCGTCATCGGCGTCGAGTTGTCCTCGCCCATGTCGCCCGCCAGCATCCAGACATAGGAGTCGCGCTTCATTACAGGCTTGCTCTGCGACATCCATCCCTCCATCCAGTCGAGGCCGGCGGCGTCGAAGCAGACGGGCATCGCCTCGTGCGCCGAGAGCCAGCCATTGTCCGGGTCGCTCATGCCGCGCGGGTTGGCAGGCATGCACGTCCAGCCATTGGTGCCCTTCTTGAGCACGTTCTTGCCTGATACGCACGAGAGGAGGCGAGCAAAGTGGAGAGGCGTGTACGGGTAGCGCGGGTGTGTGCGAGGCTTCACCATCTGAGATGGTGGCGCTGGCGGCGAGAAAATCCGGCGCGGCACTGCCGTAGGCCTTGATCTGCCACGAGGCAGAATTGTGGTCCTCGGCGACGGCGATAGCCACTAGAGCGAGCAACGAGAAAGTGGGGAGTTGGACGAGCGCCATATACGCACACACATTGAGTCGTGAACTGCCCGAACAAGCACCGCGGCCTCCCGCCGCTGTATTTGCAAACAAAGAGGTTTGTTTTCTTTGCTCTCGCGAAATAAAAAATCTACGCGCTGCTTTCGTTCGCGGCGACGCGACGCTCACACTGGCGCACACGCTCTGGCGCCAACGCAGCCGCACACAATGCCTACCACTTCCAGCTCCGACCGCCTCGATCCGGACTGCCTGAACTTTCTGAGGCGCGCCCACCGCATGCTCGATGGCACCGCCGCGTCCGCCGACGACGCTGGCGGTCGCGAGGCGGAGATGCGCGCCGAGGTGGTGCGCACCGTCGTCGAGCAGCTGCGAGGGTCAGAGATCGCGTGCGCGAGGCACGTCTTCGGCAGCGTCGCCCTTGCGCGCGTGCTCAGCGCCGCGACCAACGCGCAGCGCACCTCGCTTGCGGCTCCGATCCTCGAGCGAGGCCAGCCGCTCACTCTGCTGAGCGACAAGTACGCGTCCCACGTGGTCGAGGCGGTGCTGGCGATCGCCGCGGCCGAGGCCGCCGACGCAGCGGGCGGCGGCGTCGCCGGGCTGATCGCGCCGTTCGTCGATCGCCTCTGCGAGCCGGACGCCGCCGGCGGGCTGCCGCTCGCCGCCGCGATGCGTGACCGGCACGGCACATACGTGGCGCGCGCCCTGCTGCACGTGCTGTCTGGCCGCCCGTACGCGCCGCGCGGCACGGAGGGCGGTCCCGAGCAGCAGCCCGGCCGCCCGGCGGCGTCTCGCGGGGCGGGCAGCGGCTCGGGCAGCGGCTCGGCTGCTACCGACGAGCAGCCTCGCCCCGTCCCCGCATCGTTTGGTCGCGCGCTGCAGCGGCTGACTGACGCGCTGCTGGGCGGCGGAGGCGTCCTCACGCGCGCGTCGCGGTTTAGCGGCGAGAGCGGCCGAGGTGACCTCGAGATGCGGCGCCGCATTAGGCCTCCTCCTCTCGCTGGCGTCGCACGCGAGCGCGTCCCCCGTGCTGGTCGCGCTGCTCGGCTCGCTGCCCGCCGAAGGCGCCGCGCTCGACTCCCCTCGGCGCAGGGAGGAGATGACCCGAGATGACCCGAGATGATCCGAGATTAGGCGCTGCGCTCGACTCCCTCGGCGCAGTGCTGCTCAGCTGGCGGGAGGGCGATCAGGCGACGCAACCTAGACGGCTCCCCGCCTTCTCGTAGACGTCTCGTGGAACGTCTCCTGACCCCCTAGACACACACCTCCTAGACACACACCTCCTAGACACCTCCTAGACACCTCCTAGACACTTTCACCTCCTAGACTAGGCAGACAACACCCTGCAGACACCTCCTGCAGACATCTGCTGGACACTTCCTCAACCCCCTCCGAGAGGGCGCTGCTCCGGCGGCCTCGTCCTCCCTAGATGCCCGTCCACGCACAGAGACCACTCCAACGCGCGCTCGAGGGGACAACTGCACTCACCTCAGTCTCTACCAACGGCAGGCCCGCGCCGATGCCGCCAGCGGCGGCGGCGGAGGAGGAGGAGGAGGAGGCAAGCCGCGGCTGGCGAGCAAGGCTCCGCCGCCGCCGGAGACCGTGGAGCGTGTGCGGTCGCTCTCGCGGGACGCCCTCGGATCACGGCTGGTCGAGGCGCTTCTCCTCGCCGCGCCGCGTGGCTGGTGGTGGGCGACACTTGCGAGACGTTTCCGAGACACTTCCGAGACGCTTCCGAGACACTTCCGAGACGCTTCCGAGACACTTCCGAGACGCTTCCGAGACACTTTTCCGAGAGCTGCACCTCTCTCTCTCTCCCGCCGCACCCCGCCTCGCACACACACACACACACCCCTCCCGCCGAGCCGCTCTACTCTCGCTCTACTCTCCTCCCCGCACTTCCTGACACTCCTGCGCTGCCGCACTTCCCGCCGAACTCCCGCGCCCCCGGCACGCCGCGGACACGGCTAAGACGTGTCCGGCGGAACGCGTTGTCCAGGTCTCGCGTCCACGCAGCCTTGCGCGGCGACTTGCGCGCGATGGCCTCGCACCCGCTCGCCAACTTCGTCGTGCAGGCCCTCGCCGCGTCTGCGCCGCGCCGCAAGGAGCTCTCTCTCCTCCTCGCCGAGGTCGGCCCCGCGGTGCCCGAGCTCGTCGCACAGCGCGCCGGCGTGGTCTGGAAGCTGGCGTCGGCGTGCTCGCGGCTCGGCGGCGGCGGCGCGGCGCTGCTCTCGGCTCTCGGCGCCGCCGACGAGGCCGACGGCGGCGGCGGCGGCGGCGACGGCGGCGATCTCGCGCGGGCGATCTTGCGCGTGGGCGCCTATGCGCAGCAGGAGGGGGGCAACCAGGGCGGCGGGAAGGGCGGCGGGAAGGGGGGCGGCGCTCCTGCGGCTGGGCTGGTGGTTGGCAACCTCGGGTCTGGCATCTCTAGATGGGGAGTGGGTGTGTTCGTGTGTTCCGTCTAGGACTCGAGACGACACGCATCCCGCTGTATTCCGCTGCACCCAGTGTGATCCTAGCCGCTGTACTCGTACTCACGCGGTGCTCCGAGGACACGGCGCGGTGCCGTCTTCCCGCCCTAACGTTTGCGCGTCCACGCCGCAGGTCTCGCATCCTCGAGGCGCTCCTCACGCTGCCGTATGCGGAGAGCCGCGCCGCGCTGCACTCGGTCTGCAGCCTGCCTCCCTCCCCGCTGCTCGAGGCGGCGCGCCACCCGCTCGCCAGTCGCGTCCTGGAGGCTGCGCTCCGCACGCCAGGGGAGGGGGCCGCCCAGGCGCGCGTCCCGCGTAGCTGCACCGAGAGCGGCACCCGTGCCTGACCGCTGGCGAGCACATAGTGCCACGGGCCGGATCACGGGAGATCACGGGAGATCACGGGAGATCACGGGAGACGGAGCCCCTCGAGGGGAGGAGGAGGAGGAGCAGCAGCTGCCCCCGAGGCTTCTCGGAGCTTTCTCGGAGCCTTCTTGCAGGCGCGGGAGCCGCTGCAGGAGACGCTGCGCTCGAACGCCGCGAAGCTGGTGCGCAGCCGCGCGGGCTGCTTCGTCCTCGGCGCCGCGTTCGACGCCTCCCCCACCGCGGCGCAAGAGTCGCTCCTCGCGGCGCTGGCGGCCAGCGAGGCGGAGCTGCGGGGGACGACGCACGGCAACGCGCTGCTGCGCCGGCTGCGCTTCGACCACTACAAGTCGCACCCGGGGTCGTGGGCGTCGATGCAGGAGCGCGCGCAGCGCAAGCGCGACTCCTTCGCGGAGCTCTTCGCCGCGGAACCCGCCGCGAGGCCCGCGCGCGGCTCAAAGCAGCGCAGAGGCAAGGACGGCGGGGAGGGCAAGGCCGGCAGGGAGGGCAAGGCCGGCGGCGGCGGCTCTGCGGGCAGCGGCGCTCGCTGCCCGCCGGACGGCCCGAAGGGCGCGCCCAAGCGGCCGGCCCCCGCCGACTCCGGCTCCGCCGCAAAGCGTCCCCGCCCAGAGGCGGGCAAAGAGCGGGGCAAGGGGCCGACCCGCGCCGCCGGGGGAGCAAAGGCAGGCAAAAAGGGCAAGGCGCCCCCCGCCAGCCGGATGGAGCGGCTGGCGGCCTTCTCCGCCGCCCTCAAGATGTGACAAGGAGGAGTGGACGGCTCTGAGGCGACACTACGTTATCTGCACGCTCGAGCGCCGAGGGGTGGTGACGGGTGTGCGGATATGGTATATGTGTGGGTTCGAATCGTGGCAGAATTCATGGTGCCGAAACGTGACTCCGTGAAATGGCGTCCCCGACGAAATAAACGAAGTTTGCGTCACGTGTTTCGAAACACCAAAAGAGTATATCACAAGATGGAAAACGCACACACGAAAGCAGGAGAAAGCATCGCACTCACCTCGCGCGCGACGGCCGCAAGCTGCGCGCACGGCTCGGCCCGTTCACGCACGGACTCACACTAATAGCCGACAAGCCTGCCCGTAGAAGGGTCCCATGCTGATCCGTCCGGTGACACGTAAACCCACATGCGGTCGCACGGGAAGCACGGCACCAGGAGCGCGAGCGGCGGCGCGAGCAGGCACATAAGGAAGCAGCACAGGAGCGAGTTGCCGCCGAAGAAGGCAGCCTCGGCGTAGCGCCCGCCCGGCGGAGCCCCCGGTGGCGGGAGTGCTGGATTGGCGGCGCCCATTTCTGCCTCAAAGATGTGCGCGATTCTCCGCGGCTCGACGGGGCGGCCCTCGATGGGATGCGCGACAGCGACGGGGACGTTGGAGGATCCGGTGGTGCAACCCTGGGCCGGGGCGGTGGGGGCGCCGATCGGGATGCCCTCTGCGATCACGACCTCCGGAGGTGAACTCATTCTTGTGATGGAGAGGGATGCCAAAGGGCAGCAAGTCGCTGTTCGGCGAGCTCTGGATTTTCTGTCACTTGCCTTGGCAGCGTCGCCCTACCCTGTATTTTGTTTTGTTCGCCGTGAACCTGATGGTATAGGTGTCGCCCGAGCCAGTCAAGCCCACCCCGTTGAGGCTAGACGTGATCTGTGCAGTGAGGCCGTTCTCGGCGGCGACGCTCTCGATCACGCCGTTGGCAAAGGCGACCTCGACGGTTCGCCAGGAGAGGGCGGTGTCGATGAGCGTGCCGTACGCACCGTTCGTTGCCGTGTCGCTCGAGTACGCAAAGATCTGCATCGTCTGCCCGGCCTTGCGCCCAAAGATCGTGCCGTGCGTGCTGACGCTCGCTCGCTCGCGAGCGGGCGCGGGGCGTGGCAAAGAGTGAGTGCCGCCTCTGCCGCCTGCTGGCCGCCGCCGCCCGTTCTGCTGCCGCCACGGTTTCCGTCGTACATCTGGCGCCGGGCGACAGTCGAGGCGACAGCATCGTCATCCGAGCCAGGGGCGTAGCCAGCGATGGCCCGAGTGTCTGCCGCGAGCACAGCCAGCAAAAGCAGGCGGGTGACTGCCATCTCAGCAGTCAGCACGTACAGCGGGTGCTGGAAAGGTGGCGTGGCGGTGTGCGTGCCGGAGAGGTGGCTAAACGGTGCGTGAAAAATTCTGATTTTTTCACAAGGTCCCAGAGAAGACATGTCACATGAACGTACTACACGGGGCCGAGTCTCGAGCGCGTTCGGAATCCTGACTTCGCAGTACGCAGAGAGAGTTTGTTGTGTCTTCTGACTTCGGCTGTCGAGAAAAGCTTTTTCTTTCTCTCCCTCACACAACACTGGGCACGGTGTGCCGTCCTCCCATCCATCCCTCCCTTGCTTGTGGGCGGTCTGTTTTCTTTTTTCTTTCTTTTACTGGGCACGGGACTGGCGCGCACTGGCACTAACACAGGTACACCACGGGAGCCGCCTAAGCGACTCCTGCGAGGACGGTGAGGCACTCAGGAGAGAGAACGACGAGAATGGGAAGAACGCAACAACAAAACAAAAGAACGCACTGGTATGCAAGGTCGCTGCGAGAATTGGCGAGAGGCTCTCGCTCTGACAGCAAAAAAAACATCGTTATGAAAATAAGAAAGGAGACTGAAGTGGCACCATACATTTCCTTTTTTTCGGAAATTTTCTTCTGAGCGTGACGCAACGACTTGCGCCGCCGACCGCGCGGTTCTGTCTCTGCCCTGTCTCCACCAATCATGCTCTCTCTCTGGGCTAAGCTGGCCTTCGTCAGTAGCGCCGCAGCGACGTGCCCGGACACCCTCTGGGCAATCGCCAGAGCTGATCACTTCGGGGCGACGGGCAGGCCCGTCCAAGGCATCGTCGTCGGCGAGATGATGCGGGGCGTCGGCCAAGACGTCTGCATTGAGACGAATGCCGGCGGCAAGAACGTCGACGTCCAAGTTTACGATTTGACCATGTCGCTCGACTCCATCAAGCAGGGCATCCTCGATAAACTCGGAGCCGGACACCTCTGCCTGTGGAAGAAAGATGGCACTCTCCTTTCGACCGGCACGCTCGCTGCGCACGGCGTGTCGCGTGGCGACAATCTGTACGCCGTGCTGCTCGGTGATGCCGATCAACCGGTGGCCACCGGCACATCGCCACCGCCGCTGTCGCCACTTGGTACTTCGGCCATGACTTTGGAAGGCACCACGTGGGCAGCCAAGAGCTGGAGCGGCGCCGCGAAGGCAGGCGGGGACCCGGATCCGTACGACGACGAGGCCACGATCGAGGTTTCCGGCGGCACGATCCGTTGGACGAACGGCGGCGGAGGGGGACCCTACACGGTGACGGCGCTCCCGGCCAGCGTGGGGTCTCCCGACAGCGAGACGATCAAGTTCTCGATCAATTCGGAGGGCGACCTCGTTGTCGAGTTCGGCTACGGGGACCGCCCGGCGACCATTGTGTACGAGCTGCAAGGCGCGCGCACGACCTCGAGCGACGTCAAGAAAAGCGTGTACCTTTCCATCGTGTACCTCGTGGTGGCCGGAGTGCTGCTCGCCGCTGGTGTCGGCGTCGGCTGCTGCGTGGGCCGCGCACGCAAGCGCCGCCGCGACTCTTCATTCGTGGTTGGGCTCCCCGTCCTCGAGGAGGGCAAGGCGAAGGTCGCCACGGTCAAAAGCGCTGAGGTCGGCGTGAAGCACAAGCCGGCGCCTGCCTTCGAGCTCATCGTCACCGACCGCTGCGTCATCGGGATGGCGAGGCCGCCCGTGTTGAAGATCTGATGGAGCGTTGGAAGGTGCGAGTTGCGAGAGATCTGATGTTGATTTTTGTGTTGCGAGTCGTTGTGGCGGCATTGTCGTCGCCACGCAGCTCGTGATCTCGTTCGTGTCGGTGTCTCGCTCGCGGGCGGCCCGCTCCGAGTACATACGTGCGTGGAACCGAACCACAGCGCGTGTCTAGTATAGTTGTTCATATGAATGTGAACAGCCAGGCTCGGACTGGACACCAACGCAGGTAGGTAGGTAGAAAGGTGAAGAACAGCCAGGCTCGGACTGGACACCAACGCGGTATGGGTGGACGCTAGACAGATGATGACGACACGCACGAGCGACACACAGACACAAAACAGGCTCACAAGACACACAGCCAGCTGGCTGCCACACACCCTGAGTCGGCGTACACATAACTCAGGGCCACATCCTCCCTGTCGCCCCCCCCAGCACTCCACGGTGCCAAGGGCACAAACAAGGGCACAACTCAAACAACAGACAACAGGAAGTGACATGTGAGGCTAGAGCAGCTCGCTCCACCTCTAGCAATCTCACCGGCCTGCGAGGCACGGACGAGACCAACGCGATAGGATACCCTAGGCGGCAAGGAGCCGGAACCCGTGGTGCCCTGCCCAATCGAGCAATGTCGCTTGCCATTCTCTCGTCTTACCTGGCGTTCAATATCCCGGCGACGCGCCGGGATGTGGCGATCGGAGGCGCTGCGGCCGCCGTTGCCAGCGCGTTCCCGATCCCGGCGTCTGCTGGACTTATGTTTGATCCGATCGGCGCATATTCAATGGGCGGGTCTTCGGGCGCCACGAACCTGAAGCCGGTCAAGGCCGATCCGCTCCGACCCAACAGCGGAATCACGCTTTTGCGCGAGGTCTTTGACGGCTACCTTCCTGACGGCGGCCTGCTGAAGTGGTACGAGCAGCATCTGGCGGACGACTTCCAGGCGGTGTTTGAGGGCGGCAAGGTGAAGCTCGACAAGCAGGCATCCGCCTCTCAGCCTCTCTCCCTCTATACACGCCTGCTGCTCATCTGCCTCCCTGTGCCGGAGCATAGGCGTACCTCGCCGTGACGGCCGACCTGCTCAAGTCCTTCCCAGACTTCACGTACACCCGCAGCGGCCCGATCGCGTACGCAGACAGCCCAAACATCGTCGTCTGGACCGCCGTCGTCAAGGGAAGACCGACAGACCGACAGATAGACGGGAGGCAGCGGTGGGACACACGCCTGGGCCATTTGTGAGCACGAGCAGGACAGGCGGCGACGGGAGCGTCGCTTCACGCAGCCTTCTGTGAGCAGGCACCCACTCGGGCGCACCGTACTCGCCGCTGCCAGGAGCGCCGCTGCTACGCAACACACATCGCCACTGCCACGAGCACTCGGCCGGCCGCGCGCATTCTGCCGCGTGCCACTGCCTTCCACGCACCAGCCGCTGTCTTAGGTAGCCCGTGTGGTGTGCCCCTCCCCAACCTCGCCGCAGGCGTGCCGCCCGTCTCGGCGAAGAGCCCTCCCGTCGCGTGTCGCAACGACCCCGAGAAGATCACGCTCAACTTTGCCTCGGGCAGCGGGCTGCAGACCATCTCGAGGATCACCGTCGAGCAGAAGCTCAGCGGCGGCGGCGGCTACTCCGGGCCCGTCGGCTTCTACTTGCAGGCTGGCGGCGACGCATCCAAGGTGCCGCAATGAGAGAGATACCGCGTGCAGCCGAGGGCATTTTCTGCGCGCTCAAAACTAGGCATTTTCTACCGCGTGGCGCGCGCAAAAAAGGTATTTTGGAGGCGTTCAACCTTTGGCATGTTCTTCTTCATTGCGTTAAGCAGCCCGCGACGCGTCAAAGTTACGTGGGTCGTGGCTAGCCCCCAGTAGCAGTACGCAGTAGAGCCGTCGTAGTCGTAGTGGCCCGCAGCCGCACTCGCTTTTTTCTAGTCTTCTTTTCTTCCCGCTATTCCTTGGTCTTGGAGCACTTGCCTGCGTTTGCTTCTGAAGCCCCTCCCTCTACACGCCGCTCTTTGCACCGTGAAGCGTGCGGATGCACCGTTGCACCCGCCCCCCCTCCCCCGTCCGGCGAGCCCCCTCCCATCACGCAGCGGCGTACTTGCGGCACATTCCGCGCACGAGCGAGATTTTTAGATCTTCTTCTTGAGATTTTAGAAAACCAACAAGAAATCACAACTACACAGTGATTTGGGCTCGGCAGCTTGTCAGCCCATGAGGGATGGGAGAGGAGGACAGGGTCCCCACCTGCACGAGCAGGATTTTGGAAGGACGATCAGGGGCACAGGTGGATAAAATAAGAAAGAAATAAATAAATAAACAAAGAGCTGGACAAATACCAAATTCCAAATCGCAAACATAGAAACCCAAACACAGGCGGCGACGTGGCATACGAGCTCATAGGAGAGGAGGCGCACAACTTCCAAGGACGCACGAGCGAGAAGCACGCACACAGCCATGACGATGATGATTGATGCGCGTGAACGCCAACTCCCCGGCACAGGCCGTGAAGAGCCGCGCACGCGGGCCGACGATTACGCAGCTGCGTGCCAAGCAGGCCGCTCTTGTGGCCGCAGCTGAGCTCGCAGCTTCGAGTAACGCCGAGGCGAGTGTGGTAAGGCACTCGCCCGTCGACGAAGCCAAGCGGTGGGCAAGCGGCAAAGGCCGCAAAGTGGGCTTCTCAAAAGCACGTGCCACCTTCCGTGGCGGCGGCACGGGAATCGCGGCGACGGCCGCGAAGCACGACTCGCTCATCAAGAAGGCCCGCTGGCGCGGCACCGAACAAATTGCCCGGGAGACTCCGGCGGGCTCTGTGTCCGTAGTGACGATGCCGCACCGCAAGGACTTCGCCTCCGACAAGGAGCACCAAGTGAGGTTTAACCTGTGGCTGAAGGCGGACGGCTTCAAAGGCAAGGTGATTCTTTTCGCAGCAGCGTTGAATAAAACGGACACACCAAACAAGGGGTGGGAGAAGGACAGGGTCCCCACCTGCGCGAGCAGGATCTTGTAAGGACTGATTGATTGATTGATGGGAAGGCGAAACACAGTCCGACCAACGACTGGGACACCAACGCGGTATGGGTGGACGCAGGAATAAATAAAACGGGCAAAAAATAAACAGATGTCGTCTCGTGAAGAGAGTCCCCGCACCCACAGGACCAACGAAGCTGGAGCAAAGGATATCAAAGTGAGAGATAATAAAACGGACATCCCAAGCTAGGTAGGGCTGGGTCGAGGACAGACACACACGTCCCCCCACCTCCGCAGGATTTTGCAAAAGCGAGGGGGGAGGGCGCATCGCGGCGCGGAGAATAAATAAATACAACGGACATCCCAAGCTAGGGCTGGGTCGAGGACAGACACGTCCCCACCTTTGCAGGATTTTGCAAAAGCGAGGGGGGAGGGCGCAAAATAAGAAAGAAAGAAAGAAAACAAACGGTTTCTCTCTTTTTTTTTGCGACGGCACCCTCCTCCGCTGCGTCGATACCTGTACTTCCATACCGCGTCGGTGTCCAGTCCGAGCCAGACTGTTCTTCACCTTTTACCTAACCTAACCTATGTCGCGCGCGGCCCGACTCACTGCGCGCTGGACGCGGCTCTCGCTGGATAATGCGCCGCTTGCTCGCTCTTCGCACGGGCTCTCGTCCATCGGCGGCGCCGCTTACCTCTTTGGTGGCGAGGCGACGGCTCGTACCGCCATCGACAGCGTCGTGCACAGGCTCGACTTGCAGGCCGGAGCGTGGACAGAGCTGCAGCCCAGCGGCAGCGCGGCGCCGCTGCCACGCATAGGGCACGCGCAGTGCGCCGCGAGTGGCCAGCTGATCGTGTTTGGCGGCCGAACGAGCGTGAGCATGGGCGAGGGCGACCTCAACGACCTCTGGTCCTTCGACCCGGAGGCGGTGGCGTGGACGCCGCTCGAGGCCGCGAGCGGCGAGCCGCCGAGCGCGCGCTCCTTCCACCGTGCCGCGGCCGTCGGCGACCGCGTGTATGTCTTTGGCGGCTGCGACGCCTCGGGCAGGCGTGCAGACCTCCACGAGTTTGACCTGAGCAGCCGGCGGTGGACCGAGCTCGCGCCGCCCGCCGACCTGGGCGGGTACCCCGGCCGCGGCGGCGCCACCCTCGAGGCGGCGGCCGACGGCTCGGCGCTGCTCGCCGTGGCGGGCTTCGCCGGGCACGAGACGAATGACGTCGTCCGCTTTGACGTGGCGCGGCGAGTGTGGGAGCGGGCGCCGTCCGAGTGGCTCCGGCCGCGCTCGGTGTGCGCGTCGTTCAGCTTCGCGCCGGTGTCCGGCCCCGCGGTGGTCGTCTTTGGCGGCGAGGTGTCTCCCTCCGACAAGGGCCACGAGGGCGCCGGCGGCTTCGCGTCCGACTTGGTCGGCATCGACGCGGGCGGGCAGCCGATCGAGGTTGTGGTGGACGGCGCTTCCACGCCGCCGCCGCGCGGGTGGGGCGCGGGCACCGCGATCGCCGCCGACCAAGGGGTGCTCTTCGGCGGGCTCTCCGGCGACGACGCGGCGCCGGTCAGGCTCGGCGACGCGTGGCACCTCGAGGTTGCGTGAGGGAGGCGCCGGGAGACTCGGAGGGCTCACAGTGCCCGCGCGCCGTGTGTGTATCCAGGGGGTGGCAGAGGGGATTGCCGCAGGTGTGGCGGCGACGCTGTCGCTGAGAAGGACAGGCGGTCTCGTGATGGATGCGATTCTGTGTGTGGCAGGTGTGGCGGCACCGTGTGTGCGTCGAATGTCGCGTGTGTCTCTGAGGCGCGAATCCGCCACGTCATGGTTCCTGCCGCATATGTTCTGGGTCCCTAGTATGGGTTCGACACGTATTCACAGCAGTGTGTGATGGGGTCCCCAGAGTCCCCATAGTCTGAGGGTATCCTAAAAGTTCGGCCGATTTGGGTCAAAACGCTAAAAGCACGCCTAGGCGTAGAGTTGGGGCAAAACGACAAAAGTGGGCCCGCCCGGGGCAAAATGGTAAAAGTCTCGCGCGCCGCAGGCCGCGCAAAAATGTTGCGAGGGGCGCTTTCGAGGCGAGCAGCACAGCATTTTTCTAGCCATAGTGTGCGGGAACTACTTCGCGGGACAATAGCTACTACTTACTGCTATATGATAGTAATAGAGCAGTTTGCGCGCGGAGCCTCCGGCCCGGAGCGCCGAATTTTTTTTGAGACGAAATGCTAAAAGTTAGGCGCTCCGAGACGATCGAAGTGATAAAAGTCGCACTCTCCCCTGACCCGATCAAAAGTCTAAAAGCACCCGAGGCTCCAGAATTTCTGGCAGAAACCTAACCCTCAGACTATGAGTAATGAGAGTCCCCTACCGGATAATGTGAGCCCCGCGCGGGGATGTCTCTCTCGGCCTCGCGGCTCGTCGCTCGAGAGGGGCGGGAGCTTCGACGCCACGACGGGGAGCTCTCGCGACGATGGTGTTTGAGCAAGCGAGGCGCCCGTTTTATTACCGTATTGAATGGACACAGGACCGTCACCGATCACACCGCTCGAGCAGGAAGCGCGCGATCCGTTCGCACACCTCGACGGTGCGATGCTGCCACCAAAAGTGGCCGGCGTCGGGCCACGTGAGGAGCTCAGCGCCGGGCACCTTCTTCGCGATCGAGGCGGCGTTGGCGGGCGGCACGACGACGTCGTCCGAGCCCGTCACGACCAGCGTGGGGCAGTCCCCGAGAGATCCAAGCCGCTTGGTCGAGTTGAAGCGCATCATCGCCGCGAGCTGTCCGCTTAGACCCTCTGCGTCGCGCCGCTGCTGCACAAAGGAGGCGTGGAACTGCGCGAGCAGCCGCTCGCCCGCCGGCCCCTCGAGCGCGCTCGGCGGGAGCATCGCGCGCAGGAACGCGTCGGTCGCCGCCGGCTCGCCGTCCGCGAGGCCGGAGCACGTCTCGAAGAACGAGGCCGGCGGGGGGTGCGCCTCCTTGCCGCCGTGCATGGTGCAGCCGAGGACGAGGCCGCTGACGCGAGCCGGCGCCGTGATGGCCATCTCTTGAGCGACCATGCCTCCCATCGAGATGCCGAGGACCGCCGCGCGATCCACTCCCGCGCTGTCCATCACCGCGAGCGCGTCCCTGGCGAGCATCGGTATGCTGTACGGGCCGGCCGGCGCGGGCGAGCCGCCGATGCCACGGTGGTCAAAGGCGATGACGTCGCGCCGCGACGTCCTCGCGAGCCTGCGCGGCAGCACCGTCCACTCGGCAATCCCGCATGCGAACCCTGGGACGAGCAGCAGCGGCAAGGCTCCAGGCTTCGGGTCCTTGGATGCGATGCGCTCCCAGGTGAGCGGAGGACTCGCTGATGAACACAGGCGGCAGGCTGGCGGACGGAGAAAACGCATGTACGAAGGTATGTCAGGTGGCGCGCTTCGCCTTGGAAAAAGAAAGTATCGCGCGTCACGACCACTGGGTCGGGGCATGAACGATGCGCGACAGGCCAATGCGGTGTGTGCGCGACGGCAGAGAAACACACGGCACCTTCGCCGTGCAGAGACAGGGCCGATTTCACTCTCTGCTGAGAGGCCGAGCCCCGCGCGACGGTCACGCGGAGCGGCTCAAGCCGGCGGTCGCCCTGCCGCAGGCAGCGACTGGCCTGGGTGAGCCTGAGTTGGGCCAAGCGAGCAGGGCGAGGGCCGGCGCCGCGGCCGCCGCGCTCTGTCCCCGCTCGGCCTATCTGCCTCTCGCGACGGCGAGGCGCGGCGGCGGTCCCCGGCCCCGGCGACGCCTCTCTCTCCCGCTGCGATCGGAGGGAGGACTGCGAGACGGGCCGCGCACCACCTCGCTGTGGCTCACACGCTTTGGCGTGCGTGATTGGCGTTGGAAAAATACTCTCGATACTGCAACAAACTCATGCACAGCAGAGAGATAGAGTGTGTAACGACTGCGAGGATTGTACAGGCTGCCGCGTGATCTGCGGGAGTCATTATGGTGGCTATGCTTCATGCGCATGGCACAGCAACGATGCACGCACACGAGTGGTCCAGTTGTTCTCCGCGGCGGCGGGCTCGCGGTCGTAGCGTGGCAGCTTTATGAGGGAACCCTGCGCTCCAAGCGCGGGCGCTCCTCCGTGGCACCCATCATCCGCCGCCGCTTGGCCACGGGAGTGTGTTGCGGTTGGGGAGCATACGGCGACTCCTCCTCCTCGTCCACCTGCACGTCGTCAAGCACGACGTCGCTCTCGTAGTCTGATGCCTCAGCCTCGCACGCCGGCTCGGCGCTGCACCGAGCGCTCTCCAGGCTCAAGGTGCTGCCGGAAGTGTGGGTCGAACACAGCAGCACGCTGCGCGGGCTGGCTGCTAGCTGCTGCGTCTCTCTGTGCAGGGCAAGCAGCGTGCCGGGCACGCCGATGCTTCCCTCGAGACGCAGCATGGACCGCCTCGTTTGACGACCTTAGCCTTTTGCTCCTCCTCCTCACATTGCCGCGTGACGCCGAAATTTTCCAAGGCAACACGGAACCCCACACAAAAAATACACGCTCAATCTCTCTCTCTCTCTCTCTCTCTCTCTCTCTCTCTCTCTCTCTCTCTCGAGCCTGTCGTGTCCCTTGTCAGGAGCAGGAGAGCCCACCTGTCCCCCTGATCGTCCTTCCAAACTCCTGCTCGTGCAGGTGGGGACCCTGTCCTCCTCCCCTACCTATCCCTCGTTTGGGTGTCTGTTTTCTTTCTTTCTTTCTTTCTTCTCTCTCTCTCTCTCTATATATATATACCTCTCTCTCTCTACCTCTCTCTCTCTCTCATCAAATAAATGCGGGAAATCGTGATGCAGAGAAAGAGATTTTAGGAAACCAAACAAGAAATCACGACTCTCACAGTGATTTGGGCTCGGCAGCTTGTCAGCCCTCAGCCGAAGCTGGGGCCGGTCCCGTAGCCGAGAGAGCCCGCGCCGATGAGTTCGACGCGGTCGGGGGGCCTTGCGGAGAGGCCAGCGAGGTGGCGATCGCTGTACTTCATGGCGCCCTCAAAGTGGGGCTGGCTGACTCTCCAGAGGTCGATACTCTGGACGACCCATAGGATGCCACGAATGCCTGAAGGAGAGGGAGGCGAGGCCAGAGGCAGGCTCAGCTGCTCTCGAGAGTGATCTCGCTTTGGTGCGTTGGCGGCCGAAGGACCCGATGGTCCTGTCACATTCGCGTTCCAAAGTCGCAAAATAACGGCCGCGGCACACGCACCGCGGAGTACACGAGGATTAAGCACCACGCGGGGCGTTGTGTGCGTTCCGCTCAGGGAGAGTGCATCACCACAGACAACAGAGAGACAGACATAAAGACGACACGTGAGAGCTAAATCGAACAGGTCCCTCATACCCACACAGCTGTCAGAGTCGCGAGCTGCACGTCGCTATCCTCGCCAGTCGAGCCCGAGGCCGGGGAGAGCGACCCTGATCGCTCTCGATCGAGCGCGGACCTCGACCCGGGCGCGCGGTGCCTGCGGGTGCGGGCGACGCTCCCTCGCCGCGCTACTCGCACCTGCCCAAAAGAGCTAACCTCGCCAACGCCCGCCGCGTTGCGTTCTGGCAGTCTCCTCCGAGACCATGGCGAGGACGGCCGCCTCCCGCCATGACCGAGCAGCAGGTGCTCAAGCCAATTGTACCAACAGTGCCAGACGCAGACCACGGAGAACACGGCTGCCGTCCACGCCATGGCTCCAAGCAAGTAGACCGCCGACTGCACCAGCCACGTCCGTGCCCACGGCGAGGCGGGAATGGGAAACGCTGGAGAGACTGGACTGGGCGGCGACAGCGGCGGTCGTGGCGGTCGCGGCGGTCGCGGCGACGGCAGCGGCGGCGGAGGCGGCAGTGGTGGCGGCGGCGACGGCAGCGGCGGCGGCGGCGGTGGTGGCGGCGGCATTGGCGGCGGAGGCGCTGGCATCGGTGGTGGCGGCGGCGACGGAGGCGGTGGCGATGGCAGTGGCGGCGGCGGCGGCGGGCACGGCGGCGGCCTCAGAGGTTGTGGTGGTGGCGGAGGGAGAGGCGGGGGCGGCGGTGAGCGGCGAAGCGGCAGGGGGAGAGGTTGGGGTGGCAGCGGTGGCTGCAACGTCGGAGGTGACCTGGGTGGGGGCAGAGTTGGAGGGTTGCCCCGCGGGAGACTGGCCGGCTGAGCGGGGGTCGTGGGCACAGGTGGTGGCAGTTGGGGGGTGAGTCTCGGCGGTGCGGGAGGAGGAGGAGGACAAAGTGTGAAGGCTCTGCCGATTCCCTTGCACCAGCCGCCGGCGTTGCCGCAGAGCTGACAGCCGGAAGAACAGTCGGCTGGGTACGGGAGCGGCGAGCCCTGCCAACTCCTCCAGACTGGGTCTGTGTACGCGTTGTCGCAGTCATCGAGAGACAGGCGGAAGCACCAGTCCTCAAGGCCGACGACGGGTTGGCTAAAGCCAGTCAAGCGCGTTCGGCCCGCCGTAAGGTTTGCGGACCGACAGCGCGTGGGTCTTGGCGGAGGAATGGGCTGTGGCTCCTGCGGGATGATGAAAGAGGGGGACGGACGCTCTTAGTGTCTTTGGTACACGAAAAGCGTTCTATTTTCCGAGATTTTGCAGGAGGTAGACGGGTGGCTTTGGAGAGAGAATTTTTTGGTTTCTTTCTTGTGGCTTTGGTGACGGTGTGAATGAAAGAAGGCGCTCTCGATTGCCACCTGCACCCTTGCCACCTGCACCCTAAAAGAGCAGTAAAGAGTCTGGTTGGTGGCGAATGGTTGCTCACATTCGTCGATTGCCACCGTCACTCACATGGCATCCTGGCGCTCGCACCAATCAGCAGTGATTGGCGGCGAGAACGCAACGGTGCCTCCTCATTTTCTTTTCTTTTGGCTTCCTTGAACTTTCGCGCGTCTTCGACGGGTGCCTGTAGCCCCCCCCCCGGGGCTACAGGTTGTATGTCACTCTATTCTGCCGACCTGACTCGCCCCTACTGCCCTGTGCTCGACTCCCGCCGGATCCGCTCCAGCGGCGGCCCTGTCATCCGCAAGTTCGGCCAAGACTTTGAGTGGAGTGAGCTGCACACAGAGAGTTCCGCGCTCGAGCCGCTGAGGCAGGTGGGCGACCCGGAGATGGACGCACTGCTGGAGGAGCTCCAGCCGCGGCCTTCGGACGACGTCTACTCCCTGATTGTGAGCAAGGCCGCAGAGGACTCTGAGAGCGCTGCTGCCCGCTTCCTCGCCGAGGCTGGCACCGTGCCGGAGTGGGTTGACTGGGAACTGATCGAGAGGGGTGCGCTCACCTTCGTTCGTCTCCTTCCGCTGTGTTCAGTGGTGCTCTTCAACGCCTCGCTGGTCGGCGGCTTCTCGGCGCCAAAGATCACAAAGGCCAAAACGCCACCTAGCCAGCACACACCTTGGTTGGCATGCTCGGACACTCGTCGCGAGCGGAGCATGCCACCAAGTCTAGGTCTCCGAAAATCTAGGTCTTGGACGCGAGCGGCTACCTCACCGCCGAGCAGCCGCGGGCGGTGATGCGACGCCTCTTCGAGACGGGGAGGCTGCTCATCGACTGCTGCGCCGAGCAGGGAGCACTCCGGCCCGGCAGGGAGGGCTGGCGATCGGCGGTTCGGGTGCGAGCGCTCCACGCGCGGGTGCGGCGGCGGCTGCTGCTGCGCGGCGCGTCAGGGGGCGAGGCGTGGGACTGCGCGCGGGACGGCGTCCCAATCAACCAGGAGGACCAGGCCGCGACGCTGCTCGCCTTCTCGTGCCGAATGGTGAGTGGTCAATGAGGAGTATTGAGCAGTGAGTTAGGCCGTGACGCTGCTCGCCTTCTCGTACAACGTGCTCGCCGGCCTCGAGCTGATCCGCGGCGGCCCCGTGCCCGAGGAGGAGGAGCGCGCCTACCTCCACCTCTGGCGGTGGGTCGGCCGCCTGCTCGGCTTGCGCGACGAGCTCAACCCCTGCCGTGCCGGCATGCCGCTCGCAAAGGCGACGCTCGAGTCGATCGTCCTACACCTGCTCCACCCCGACGCGCTCTCGGTCCGCGTGGCGCACCACCTGCTCCGCGCGCCCCGCTCGTCGGATGCCGCGTTCGAGCGCTCCGCCTCGATGACGCGCCTCCTGGTCGGCGATGAGCTCGGCGACGCCCTCGAGCTGCCGTGGAGCTTGCCTGGCCGCCGTCGCGCGCGCTGGGCCCTCCTCCGTAGATGCGGGACACAGGCGCCCGTCCTCTTCCGACAGGCGCTCGAGAGGACGCGCACTCCTTCAGCCATGTCCACTGTACTCGTGCCCCGTGTATTGAGCACAAGTGTTGTGTTCGCGGCGCAGGCCCTCCTCGTGTTGCGCGCCTACGGCGCACTCTGCGGCTCGACCCTCTTCGGCGGCCCGCTCTGCTGGCTCCACCGCTCGCTGATGCGCGCCGTCCAGCGGGCAGAGGGCGTCGAGACCTTCGTCGGCCGGCGACCGGAGCTGCAGTCCGCGTCGCGTTGCGGCGGCGGCGGCGGCAGCAGCAGCGCGAGCCACTCTACCTCTGCCTCGGGCGGCGAGGTGAGCCTGGCGCGGCGCGTGTACAGCATCGTGCGGGTGTGGGGGCTGTAGTGGCGTGTGAAACGCGAATTCGTGTGTGTCCCTCCTTGTCGTGCGTGTGCTTGTGTCAGGCTTGTGTCCCTCTTGGTTTCCGGGGCGGCCTAGGCGGGTTGGTGCATGGTGGGCGTGCGAGCGGCTGCGCCGGCGGTCGTGCGTGTGCGCCACGCGCAGCTGACATGGCCCGGCAGCTGAGAAATATCGCGCAAGGATCGCCGTGAGAGCTGGCTCGCAGCCCCTTGTGTGCGGCTCTGCCGGCAGAAAGAGTAAAGAAACAGCAACACCGGGCGGACCCCCCCCCCCCCCGCCTCTAGGGCCCCGCGTAAGTTCCGTGCAGTGTTCTGCGACACCTGCGTCACCCTGTGCCCCCAAGTGTGGATTTGTGTTACTCAAAGAGTGCTGCGCGCGAGCGCGGTGCGATCCGCTTTTGCGTGCCGTTGGAGCACTTGGACTTCCAGCGTTCGGCTCCGTCTGGGGGGGCCGTCTGCGTGAACGGCGCTGTGTGAAGCGTTCGTCCCGGGGTTGTTTGCGTTGTGTGAATCTCCCCCCATCCCCAGGGCCTCCAGGGCTCGCACCTCAACCTCTCACAGACCAGCGCATAGCGCCATGCGGCGTATTTTCTTCTCATAACAAGGCTGTGAACGGCGCGACAACTGCCCCCGGCCTGAAATGGAGGACGCGACCCCTGAAAGCGGCGGCGATGGCGGCGGCCGCAATGCGGCGGCGGCGGCGGAAGATGAGACAGCCGTCGCGGGCGAAGGAAGCGGCGATGGCGGCGGCCGCAGTGCGGCGGCGGCGGCGGAAGATGCGACAGCCGTCGCGGGCGAAGGAAGCGGCGATGGCGGCGGCCGCAGTGCGGCGACGGTGGCGGAAGATGCGACAGCCGTCGCTGGCGAAGGACGAAGCGGCGATGGCGGCGGCCGCAGTGCATGCGGTAAAGTGCTGTCGCACGCCGCCGAATTTCCAAGGCGCTGCGCTGCGCAGCAGCGGGAGCGCCTTCGCACGTCGCACGCCACCGTCGGGCTGCTGTTTCTGGTCGGAGGCCTTCTGATTGGGGCCATGGCTGCAGGCTTTGGGATAGCGAGTGAGCATGTGGAGGAGGCACGGCGAGAGTGGTTCGATGCCGCGCCGTGGGCGGCGTGGCTCGTCATCCCTTTCGGGCTCACGTTCACCGTGCTGCTCACACGCACGTGCTTCGACGGCACGGCAGGGAGCGGCATCCCGCTCGAGATGACGGCCTTCATCCTCGCCGACGGAGACCCGAATCTGGCGCGCATCTTTTCGGCGCGGATCATGGTGGGCAAGGTGGCGCTAACCCTCCTCGGGCAGCTCTGCGGCGCCTCGAGCGGCCGCGAGGGGCCCACGGTGCAGGTCGACTCCCGTCTCCGCAGTCCCTGTGTGGAGTTAAGCCACGTCTGCTGTCGCTATAGTCGCTTGGGCGTGGAGAGGGGTCACAGATCTTGGAATGAAGGTTGCCTACTACTCTAGGTCGCCTCCTCCCTCCTCGTCCTCGTGCTGCGTTGCGGCGAGCGGCTGCTGCCGTCCGTCCGCAGGCTGCTCGACGCGCCTCCGCGGCACGGCAGCGGGACGATGAGAGGCGTCTACCTGCGCGACGCGGCGCTCATCGGCGGCGCGGCGGGCGTCTCTGGCGCCTTCAACACGCCGCTCGGCGGCATCATCTTCGCCATTGAAGAGATGGGGGGTCGCTTCACCAAGACGCTCGGCCAGATGATGGTCGTGGCAGTAGCCGTCTCGGGTGCGGCCGCCATCGTGCTCGGAGGGTACCACGCCACCTTCGAGGGATACGACGGCGCCGCCTTCGAAGACGACATGCTCCACATGCTTTGGGTGACCCCCGTCGTGTCGCTCTTCGCGGGGCTCCTCGGCGGCGTGTGGTCTCTCCTCCTCCTCTACGGCGTGCACATCAAGCTCCTGCTGCGCGGCTCCGTCAGCGCAACCTATGTGTGCTACCTAATGTTGTGCCCCAACTCTGCGCTGTGTCCCACGGTGACACATCACCCCACCCGCTGAAGCCCCTTCTTCCCGCAGGCATGGGTCGCCGGCTGCGGGCTCCTCCTCGCCGCGGCGGGCTACTGGGACGACGGCCACGCGTGGGGCTCCGGCTTTGACGAGGCGAAGCCACACACACAGACACGCACGCACGCGCGCCACACCGCTCACCCACGCGCACTGGCCCTTTCACTTAGAATGCCGTGGGGCTCCTGCCTTTCTGGAGTCGCCAGGGCTGCCCGTCCCTTGCCCCACCACCTTGCGTGCGTGTGCGTGTGGGAGGAGCTTACCCGTAGACCTCACCTCACCTTAGGCGAAGGCGCTCGTGGCGACGGACGACACGCTGGGTCCCGTCCCGCCGGTGCACTACTTCGCGGTCAAGGGCGTCGCCACGCTGCTCACCTACTGGAGCGGCGTGCCCGGGGGCATCTTTGCGCCCACAATCTCCGTCGGCACCGGCATCGGGCACTGGTTCCACGACAAGGTCATCCTCCAGATTGACAGCGAGATCCCGCGCCAGCCGACCTGCCTCCTCGCCGCCACCGCCTACTTCGCGGGCGTCACTCAGTCCCCCATCTCGGCCTTTGCCGTGATGCTCGGTGATGCTCTCCAGTGCCCGGGGCGGATAGGGGCCCGATCTTGGAATTGAGCTTGCCTACTACTTGCCCGGGGCAGCCCCTGGGCCTCCCCTCGCTTCACAGGCGCTCCCCGCCACAGCCCTCGCCCCGCTCTCTTGAGCAGGCATGCTCGACTACCACGGCGGCCTCGTGCCGGCGATGCTGGTCAGCGCAGTCCTCGGCTGGCTCTCCGCCCAGCTGCTGGCGCCCCGCCCTCTCTACCCGGCGCTGTCCGACGCGCGCATCCCGCCCCTCCCGCCCGAGTCGTGCCAGAGGGAGCTGCGGGCCTTGCCACCTCCGGTCTACGTCTCCAAGACGGACACGGCGCGCCACGCGGACTTTGTCGAGGCGAGCAAAACAATCGCAGTGTCTTGAGCGGCATCCGGCATAAGGCATGAGCCTTCATGAGGATCAGAGGATGAGTGCCCACATTTGAGGGGCGGGCCGTGAGTGTCCGTGAGCGTGTGTCGCGTGAGGCGTGTGCGGTGTGTCGCGGGTGGTGGGCCGCCCGCGGTGGGGTGTCAATGTGTTAAGCCTCCAGCTCCACTTTTGTGTTTTGAGGTTTATTTTACTTTTGGTACACGATGGCTTCGGGGGTGCGATCGAGATAGACAAGCGCTGCGTGCGACGCTTACAGCCTCCTTGCACACGGATGCCAAGCTCCAGCTAGCCTCCAAGCTCCAACCCGTCCTCTCTCGCTGCTCGGCTCTCCTCTGAGCACCTCTCCGCGCGGGGAATGGCGAGAGATCCGGGCGGCGAGACTGCTGTGGGCCAAGACGCGCCACCCTCTACCGGCGTGCTGCCAAGGCCCTGCGGCCAGCCATGCGATGCGGGCCCGCGCTCCCGCCGAGCATCGGCCACTCGTGAGCGCCGTCATGAGCGTCCCCAGCCGCCCCCACCGCCCCCGCCGCCTCGGCCACCCCCGCCGCCTCCGCCGCCTCGGCCGGCCGCGCGAGCCGCACGCCCGTGTCGAACCAGCTCTCCACCCTGACGCGGGGCGGCGCGGGCGGCGCGGGCGGCGGCGGCGCGGGCGGCGTGGACGGCGGCGCGGGCGGCGGGGTGGCCGCCGGCGCGGCCGGCGGGGTGGCCGGCGCGTCGCGTTCGGCGTCGAGGTACTGCAGCACGGTCTGCGCGTGCTCGTAGCCAAAGGTGACGCAATCGGGGAAGGCGACGCCGGTGCGGTAGTTTCCGCAGACCCACAGGCCGGGCGTGTCGGCCTCTGCGCGCTCGAGCGCCTCGATGAGAGGCGCGTGGCCGAGCTCGTACTGCGGGATGGCCGTCGGCCACAGCTTTGCGCTGAGCACCTTTGGCGGCGGCGCGTCCGGCTTGAGCAGCACCTGTTCACAGCAGGAGGTGTGAAGAGACGCTGTTCACAGCTGGACGGCACGTCCGGCTTGAGCAGCACCTCGCGGCAGCCGCGGTCAACCTCGGCAACCAGCTCCTGGCGGGGGAGAGGGTGGGGGTGGGGGTGGGGGTGGGGGTGGGGGTGGGGGTGGAGGGAGGTCGTGAAGGAATGTGAGTGCCGAGGGCACCTCTGCTGGAGGGGGAGGGAGAGGGTCGGGGTATTGAGGGTGGAGCGGGGTGTGTGGGGCCTGGTGGCGGGGGGGAGGGGGGGGTGGGGAATGGTCACCTCCTCGCTGAGCTCCGCGATCGGCGCGTCGCGCGAGCCGCCGATGTAGTTTAGCAGCAAGTTGTACTCGGGCGGGCAGCGGCCGGGGAAGAGGGAGGACGACCAGAGCGTGCCCAGCGTGCGCACGCCCTCAGAGCGCGGGTTGAGCGACCCAAACCCGGGCAGGTCTCGCAGCGGCCCGAAGCCGTTGTCGAGCTCGACGTCGCGGAAGGCGCTCTTCGGGTAGGCGACCTGCGTGCGTTGTGAGTACGCCAGCATGAGGGCGGGAAGGCGGTCTCGTGCTGTGCAGTCGGAGCGCCGCGTGAATACGAGGGGATACGAATACAGCGAATACGGCAGAGATGGTCGAGAAGACAAGAGAAGGCGGACTCCGCTCCTAGGAGCCGACCGTGACGGCGGCGACGGGCGGGTAGTAGATCCCCTTGCGCCCGATGCCCTCGCGCAGCGCCTCTGTCAGCGGCGCCGCACCGGGAAGGACCTCGTCGATCACGCCGCGCAGCGCGTGCGCCGGGAGTGTCGAGACGACCGTCCTCGCGCGGACGGCCTCGAAGGTCGCGCCGCAGCGAGGCGAGGCGCCACTCCAGCCGCACGCGCGAGGCCGGGTCGGGCGGCGCGCCGTGCGGCTGGCCGAGCTCGGCCGCTATCGCGTGCGGCAGCGTAGAGAGGCCTAGGGAAGGGGCCGCGGGGAGGCGTGAGAGGGAGAGGTCGAGGAAGCGCCTCTCTCCTTGGGCAGGGTGGAGCGGCCTCTGCGGTACGACCCGGGGTTGCCGTACTCGAACGGCACCCAGGAGGGGTCGGGAGGGCTCGCCTACCCAGCAGGGCAGCAGCAGCCAGTGAAGACCCTTCCCCTTCCGAGAGACCGGGGTCCCCCGCCTTGGCGGGGTCGGGCGGGCTCGCCTTGCGCTCCTTCGTCAGCTCGACCTGGCGCGCGAGGCCGCCGTAGAAGATGGCGCCGAGCTTGTTCCACTCGATCCCGTACGAATAGCGCTCGATGCGCGCGATCTTGGACAGCGCGGCGGACATCGAGAGCGTCATCGGGTCGCCCGCGTACACGCCCGACACAAAGGGGTCGATGCAGCGGAGGAAGACCTCCTCGCCGAGGGTGCGCGTCACCCACTCGCGGATGGTCTCCTCCTTCCCCTCGGGCGGCGGCGCGTGCCCAACCAGCGCCCCGATCGCCGCGCGGATCTTACCGGGCCACGACAGCAGGCTGCCAGAGAGCCCAAACTTGAGGACGCCGTTGGAGCCAAAGACGAGCTCGAGCTGGCCCTTTGGGCCCTTGCCGCCCTTGCCCTTGGGGAGCGGGTGCAGCTTGCCGCCGTGGTTCACCCACGGCGGCAGCGACTCGTCCGCAAACACCAGCTCCTTCTCGATGCCGAGCTCGTGCGAGATGCGGACGATCGACGGCTGCGTCGCAAAGGAGTTTGGGCCATCCTCCCAGACGAAGCCGTCCTCCTCGTGCGAGACGACGTTGCCACCCACGTAGTCGCGCGCCTCGGCGAGCAGCACGTCCGCGCCGCCGCGGTGCAGGTTGTGCGCCAGCGTCGAGCCCGAGATGCCGGCGCCGACGACGATGCAGTCAACGCGCCGGTCGACGGCCATGTCGGCGGAGGCGCGCACGAGAGAGGCCGCCGCCCGCTGCCGCGCGGCAGCCGCGGTCGGCAGCGGCCGCTGCGGCGCGAAGAATCCGATCGCCAGGAGCGGCAGCATATACACGTGTTACATTGTCGAGTCCTCCAATGAGCAGCGGCAAAGAAAAAAACGGCGGCGCGGGGCCCCATCCTCCCATCCCTCCCTTGGGTTGTCTGTTTCTTTCTTTCTTTCCGGGGGGCCCTCTGCGCCGGGGAGGCGTTGTTGGAGGCTAGGTCGCAACCACCATTAGGTCGCAACCACCATTAGTTAGGATTAGCAGCTCAGAGAGAGATTTAGGAGAGATTTTTAGAAGCCAACAAGAAATGTGTCAGTGGGGAGCTGGCTCCAACAAACGACACTGCGCGGATTTTCATTCACAGCCTTGTTATTATCGAGAAGAAAATACCTCGTATGGCGCTTGGTGTGCGCTGGTCTGGAGTCTGGTGGTCTGTCGGAGAGGTTGAGAGGTGCGAGCCCTGGAGGCCCTGGGGATTCACAGATAGGTTTGACAAGAAATTTACAACAAAACTCGTTAATCAGTAACCAAAGTCTTGCCCGCCAAATAAATCAATTTCTCTGATTTCCACGGGCCGTCGGGGAGGCCTGCCGGCGGCCTTCTCTATCGCGCTGCCACCTTTGGCTTTTGTAAGGTGCCTATATGGGCTTCCAGTATCGGACCTTCAAGACATGCGCTTTTGGCCGGTGGCCTCCTCGGACATGGTACCTCCGGTGAGATAGTGGCTGCCAGTTCGAGACTGGGGCCGATCGAACTTGAGTTCGGAAGAGTTGTTCGGAGGAGGAATCCGGCCAGCACGGGTACAAAGAGGGGTACCCGGAGAATCCCCAGCTGCGGAAACGTAGTGTCGCTCAAGAGGTGCGATACTGCGGGGGAGTGTAAGGTGCCTATATGGGCTTCCAGTATCAGACCTTCAAGACATGCGCTTTTGGCCGGTGGCCTCCTCGGACAGCTTTGCCGCGCGCATCACGCACACGGAAAATTCGGGATGATCGCAACGAATCTGGGCGTCGTGGGTCGTGCGTGCGAGCAACCCCTCGACTGGAGTATAGTGCATCGCGCCACGACGCATGAGCTAAAGCCCAAACAGATGGTCATGCATCCTGCTCTGATGGTCTGGGCCACGGCAACACCTTGCTTGGCAACAGACAGCGTGCCACCCTCGGATCGGCCGCGAAGACGTGCACTCATCCCCAGTAGTACTACTCACCCTCGACAACGCACAAGACAGGTCACACAGAGAAACGACACAGCCTGGAGGCACGTGTATCGATCAACGGCTGTCGTGTGCCGTGTTCGTACTCACTTGAAGATGCGCGTGTCCTCCGGGTCCTCTTGCAGGACGCCAATCAAAAAGGCTGCGACAAAGAGAGCGACGCCGACGGCGCCCGTGCTCAGGCAGAAGAGACTCTCGACCGCGGTGACGCCGGGTCCATGCTTTGGGAGGAAGCCGCAAATCTCGAGAGTCACGACGGTGGGCAGCAGGGCGAGACAAAAGTTTGCCCCAGTGTAGATGAGCCCGGCGTCCACATCCAGGAGAGACTCAAAGGTCGAGAGCAGCTTGAGCTTCTCCACGATGCCGGTCTTCAGCAAGCTCTCGACGGCGCTGAACGCGCCAACGCTCTCGAGCTTGGTGAAGACACCATTTTCGGCAGCAGCAGAGAGCAGCCCGAGCTCGCTCACGCTCGTCAGCACACCCAGCTCGTTGACGCGTGAGAGGAAGTAGACGGGCGGCTTCACGATGCTGACCTCGCGAGCCTCAAACAGTCCGTCCTCAAAGTTCTCGAACGCGTACTTCTTGCTGTTGCCACCCATCCGGACGGCGCTGGAGCGCAACACCGCAGCGGCGGGCAAAATGGCCGATCGCGGAGCAGGCACCTGAAAGCGCGGCGGGCGGTGTGTGCAGGGCATGACGGTGTTCCGCAGGGAGAGAGATATACTGCACGTTGAGTGCAGCCACTTTGAGGGGGACGAACGCGAGGGCGGTCAGCATCTTGTGCATGGGGGGCAGCGGTGTTCTCTCGGTGCCATCTCTCATTTAAAATAACGCAGGCCTCAGCGGAGCTGGGAAGAGGACCGCCGCAAGCGGCGTGGGCGCGTGGCGTGGAGCGGTTGTGCATCCCTCCGGGGGGGGCTCTGCGCCGGGGAGGCGTTGTTGGAAAAAGAAAGAAAGACAACAGACAGACAACCCAAGGGAGGGAGGCGTTGTTGGAGGCTAGGACGCAAGCGTCCGTCGCCCTTTTCAAACTCAGGGCCCACTCCGCTACGCTCCGACCCGAATTTGGAGGGCCTAAAAGTTTAAGGTGTTGCTGCGCAAAAGGGGTCGGACACAGGGCGCAGCTCATGCCAACCAAGAGCTAGAAGAGGAGATAGAGAGAACAACCACCCTGTCCCGTTATTGCGTACACCAACACCACAAAAGCTCTCTCTCTCCTGCTCCTCACTCAGGGGGGTCACAACTACCGAGTCCCTAGAGTCTAGCTGCCACGTTCAAAACCAGGACGGCGGCAGTGATAGTGCTATCACGGGCTTGGTCCGTGGAAAGTGGAGCGGGTGGTTACGGGATAGTAGAGCAGGCGCTTTGTGGGTGGCGGGTATGGGCGGCGGCGTTGGGTGGCCGGCCGAATCGTTAGCGGAGCTCCTCCCTCAAGCTCGATCACGCATGACGCACGTTGAGTGACAACGTCGGCGAGCTTCTGGATCAGGTTAGGTTGCCGGAGCACCGCCAACCCTCCTCTGAGTCAGACACGCCAATGTCGACTGCGCCCTCCTCCTCCCATTCGTCGACTGCGCCCTCCTCCTCCATGGGCTCGATCCGATTCCGCAGTGTGTTGTCCCCAGCGGCGGTGCTGCGCTGGAGGCGGCCGCGGGCACGCTGGGCTCGATCAGCGGCTTCCCCTCAAGTTGTGCCGAAAAAGCACGGATTTGGCGGACGTTCTTGGCTTCAATTTTACGGTTGCACTAGCTGAAGGCTTGCCCGGCTTAGATCGCCGCATTTCTGCACGGTATTCGGATTTTGCTATTTGTTCGTGTGGGGGATATATTGCAGATTTGTCAATGGTACCGCGTCTGCGACGCGGGCGCCTTGCGTGCAGAGCCCTTAGCACCCTTTATGTCTTGCGCGGTCAAAACGCACGGCTGCCACAGCTGTGACAGCGATGGGCTCGCCCTCACTGGCCCTCAGTCACTTGTGCTGCGGCTTGTGTGAGCGACACTGCTCGGCGACTGCCGGCACACTGTGAGACCATGGGTGTGAGGTTAAACCACGCTACCAGCGCTTGGTCACATCGGCCCCGAGGTCAGATCCATCTACTCTGTTAGTGACAAGACTTGTCTACTGGCTGGAGCCGAGCAGGAGGGCCCAGCGCACAACCCCTGGTCAACTCAGGGTCCACACCCCGTAGAGAGATACACAAACAACACCAGAGTGCAGTTTGCAGCCACCTTTTCTTATCTGTGAGCTGTGTCGAGCCTGGTTTGCCGATTTTGATTTGATTCTTTGAGGAAGAAAATACCTCGTGCTCGCATACAAAAGCGCCGCCACGTGCGTAAAACGAACAACCTGACTTTACCACCGTGAGACCAGGGGCGGCGACAGTGCATCTTCCGACCCACAATACCAGTGCAGTGTACGTAATCCTGTACGCGCCGGGGCCGCGTGTGTCCACACACAACGCGACGGCCCGAGGAGAAGAAAAGCCATCACCAGTCGACAACCGACGGCTGCGCGGCCGAGGCCACCCTCTGGCCGCCGCCTCCTGGGACGCGCGCCGGCGCCACCTGGTGGATCTCGTGCACGAGGTTTGCCGTGATTGGCATGTTGTCGGGCACGATCGGCGGCGGCGGCGGTGCGTGGCCCGCGCCGTGCCTGCGGCCGCTGCCTTGTTGTGCGGGCGGCGCGGGTGGCGCGGGCGGCGCGGGCGACGCGGGCGGCGCGGGCTCGCCGGCGGGCAGCGGCGGCATGGGGTAGAGCTGGTGCGCGCGGGGCGGCAGCTGCAAGCACCAGCCGCGCTGGTCCGCCATCTCGAGGAAGGAGGCGAGCATCGGCGACTGCTGCAGCGTGCGGCGCGAGCCGACGACCAGCAGCTTGCGCTTGGCGCGGCTAAAGGCGACGTTGAGCCGCCGCCAGTCGGCGAGCAGGCTGCCGGTGGCGCCGTCGGCGTTGCTGCGCACCATGGAGAGGAGCAGGCACTCGAAGTCGCGCCCCTGCCCCTTGTCGATGGTGAGGGCCTCCACCCCGCGCAGCGGCGGAGGCAGCCGCTCGGCCACGGCCTTGAGCTGCGCGCGGTACGGAGAGAGGTACGCCATCCGCGCCTGACCAGCGAAGGAATGGGAGGTGGGCCTCGGTGGAGCTTCCTTGAGCAGAGGTCGGCCGTCCGCGCCGGCTCCACGCCGCACGCGCTCAGCCAGGCGAGGAGCTGCACGAGAAGGTCCGCCTAGATGGCCCGGGATGACCCGAGGTGAGCCGAGATCGGGCGAGCGGCTGCACGGCGAGGCCCGCCTCGAGCGGGTTGTAGACGTTGCCTCGCCTCCCCGCCTGAGGCACCGCGCGAGACGGGGTGGGGCGGGGGCCGGGGTAGGTGGGAGGCGGCGGCGGCGGTGGCGGTTGCGGCGGCGGAGGCGGCGGCGGAGGCGGAGGCGGCGGCGGCGGCGGTGGCGGTGGCGGCGGGAGGGCTCGTGCGCGGGGCGTGAGGCACCTGGACTCGCGCCTCTGTCGCGGGCATGGCGTCCGTGTCTAGGAAGACCACGCGGTGCTGCGGCAGGATGGCGAGCCGCAGCCACTCCGCCCGCCGCCCGAGCCCGCGCGCCTCCGACTCTGCGCCCGCGCCGCCGGCCGCCGCCGCCGCCCACGAGCGAGCCCCGTCCCACGCGCCTCCCGCCTGCCGGCACGGCGGGAGAGCGAGCGCGGCGCGGACGTGGCCGAGCCGCGGCAGGTTGAGCGTCGCGTTGGCCACCGCCGGGGAGCCGCAGACGAGCTCGCCTAAGGACATGTCCCGGACATGTCATGGACGTGTCCTGGACACCCCTCGCCGGAGAGCCGCAGACAAGCTCGCCTAAGGACATGTCCCGGACATGTCATGGACGTGTCCTGGACATCCCTCGCCGGAGAGCCGCAGACAAGCTCGCCCGAGTAGACGAGCTGCGACGAGATGGCCATGATGTCGGCCGCCATCCGGTACTGCATCCGGAGCCGGCAGACGGCGGCGGGGTGCGCCTGGCACAGCCGCGAGAAGAGGGAGGTCGCCATGCCGCGCTCTCCGGCCGTCGGCTCCGTCACGAGCGGCGGCAGCTGGAAGTGGTCGCCGACGAGCACGAACCGCTCGGCGAGCCTCATCGGGCCGAGGCAGACGGGCTCCGTGATCTGCCCCGCCTCGTCGACGATGCAAACCTACACGGGGCGCGGGGGCGCTGTCCGCGTCGGCGCGCCCGTGGCGGCCGCCAGCGCCACCGGGCTCTGGCGCGCGCGTCGAAGAAGCGCTCGAACAGCAGCGCGTGCGAGAGAGAGAGGCTCGTGGTCGCAACCACCCTGCGGTCGCGCAGCAGCGCCGACAGCTGCTCCGGCTCATGCGCCGACTCGAGGAGCGCCTACCGCAGAGATGCCGCAGAGATGCCGCCGTGAGACCGCCGAGATACGACACGCGGAGTGGTAGCTCTTGTCGGCCTCGACGATGAAGCCTTATCTCGGCTGCCTCTCTCGGCTGCAGCTCTCGGCTGCCTCTCTCGGCTGCAGCTCTCGCCTCGACGGTGTGCTTGTGCAGCCGCGGGTGGATGCGAGAGAGCTGCTCGCCGAGCCGGAGCAGCGGCACGCCCATCTCGTCCAGCTTGAGCAGCACGTTGTCGAGGGCCGAGTGCGTGTACGCCGACAGGAGCACTGTCTGGCCCGCCGACGCGAGCGCTCGCACCTGCGCGATGCATGCGCCGCCGTCGGGGAGTGCGGTCTCGCGCCGCGTGCTCGGAGCACCGCGCGAACACACGCGCTGCGATGCGAAGACGGCGGAGTCCGGCTGAATGCGGGGCCTGTTCGAGTGGCTGTTCGGAGACAAGGATGTGCGTCCTCCCCGTCTAGGCGCGCGCACCGTGTGCGCGATGACGGTGGTCTTTCCGGTGCCGGGCATGCCGAGGATGAGCGCATAGTCGCGCGCGCACAAGACGCGCGTCACCGCCGCGCGCTGGTCGGCGTTGAGCGTCTGCAGGCTCGCGGCCGCCTGCTCACAGCGGCGGCTGTGAAGAGACGCCGATCACACCTGCTGGTCGAGCGTCCGCAGGCTCGAGGCCGCCTCGGCCGAGAGCGGCGACAGGCCCTGACGGGTGGGGCGGGGGCGGGAGGTGGAAGGGGCGGGAGGTGGGAGGGACGGGCCGAAGCGAGGGGGGGGGAGAGGGAGGGTGGGGGGGGGGGATCATTCCTCCTCCCGGGCCACGCTCGGGCAATCTCGGGCAATCTCGGGATCTCGGGCA